GAATTAAAGAGGGAGGGCTCCCCAGCCTCTGGATCCACCCTGCTGATGAGGAGTGAGAGCAGGGATGGCCGTGGCTTTGCCTGCTAGAAAGGCACAGGGAAGGTGGTGCCTTGGACAAAATAAACCCAGGCAATGCTCCTTTGGGAGGTGTCTGAAGGGATAGGAGTGAGCAGGGGTAGAGACCTTGGCAGTAGCTGGGAGGTGAAATGGTGAGACCCTTCTGAGAGTTACCCACTTGGGGTGAGAGTGGACACCTTTCTGAACCCAACCACCTGCTGACAGGGGGCTCAGTCTCTGAAGGAATTGTTTGCTGTCAGTGGATGTGTAACCTTCCACAAAGGCTCCTGCCCCCATCGACTCATCCTTAATTCTGGTTCTCTGAACTCACATGTGGATTTAGGGTTTTATTTCCTTAGTTTAAATGCACAGACACTGCAGAGTCGCTCCTTGCTCACCACTAAGAGCCAATTAAACCCCAAGAAGTGTTGACGTTTTCCTCAGCTGAGCAGGGATGAGGCAGTGCATGCACAGAGGACCCCAGGAAGGGAGCAGTGCTGGCCTGGGATTTAGGAGGGGCGTTTGAAGTGGGAACAGGCAGGTGTTTTGGGTGGTACAAGATGGTCATTTCAACCTTGAATCCCAATGCTCTAAGAATTTCCAACTGTATCTGTGGCAAACTCAGAAAGCTCCTGGTCATCTTGTGAAAAATAAGCATTTGGAGGGTGTTGGGACCCTCATCAGGTGCTAAGATGATACAAATCTGGTGACTCTTTTATTTCCCCACTGTCTTGAGTCAGAGAGATCTCACAAAATGGGTATTAAAATAGAAACAGAGGCTCGTTGTCAGAAATGTGAATCAATGCGTAAGAATAAAATAACTTTATGCAAAAAAACCCAAACCAACTCTTAGCTGAAATCAGCTGTTTCTTAGGCATTGCTGTGAAACCACCAGCTCAGTTTTCATTAGGTGTCAGAACAAGCAAATAGTGGGGAGTATTGTTAGAAAGAGGTCAGGACATGAAATATTAACCATTCTGTGGTAAAAATCTGCGACTCACATAGGCCATGCTTTGGAATGCAGTTGTTCACAGCTGAACAATCTCATGTTTTTTCCACAGAAATTGTAGATGTTCCCCATGATAACTGACAATCAGGGTTGTTTTTATAATGTTTTTAAGAAGGTTAAGCAGTTCTGTGAATGGCATGGAAGGAACAGGATTCATTTGAAAAAACTCTGCCAGAAAGAGCCAGTGAGGCTTTTTTAGGACATCACTGGCAAACTGCAAGTGATCTATTATTAAAAAGAACCCCATATAGAGCCTTCTGCTTGATCTCTTTATAACTGTAAATGTGCACATGACTGTCAGAGTGAATCAGTGTGATTTCTAACTTTGGAACTGCTTTCAGGGATTATTTTCAAATTCGTACTCTTAAAAAATTTTCTGAACTGTAGCTGTGAGGAATTCTCTGGTGGCTGAACCTGGAACTTGAACAGGCTTTGAGTGTTCCTGCAGTTCTTGTAGCTGATTGCACAGAATAAAGGCAAGGAATGGTAAAAGGAGCATCTCCTTTCGATTTGTGGCAATAAATACTAGCAAGAATTTGAGATACCGTAGCCAGACATGTATTTTTATTTAAAAGGTTAAATGCCCTAATTGCTGCTCTGTTAAAATGTGGACATAATTAGCCCTGTATCATTGAATTAATAACTGGAGATGTTTAAAATCCAGGGTAGATACAGCTGCAAACACATACCTAGTGCTGACTTACCTGTTTGAAGCACCCCTGCCAGTGTAGTTGCAAAGGCATGTTTTCTGCATGCAAGACCTTTCCAGCATTAATAATACCATTAATTTTGTTTTTTCTCCATCCCTGGAAAAATATATATAGGCAAAGTCAGAAAAACTGAGGTGGAAGGGGGAGCTCTGAGTGAAAAACCACATTTTTATGCTGCTAATTAAAGAAAAAGCAAACCCAAACACCAACTGAAGGCAGACTGGAGAAGGAGTTAAAGCCACATTGGGTATCTAATCTTGTAGCCTTTCCTCTCTGCCAGCCTGTGGGTCTTTATAGCCACTTGCAGAAATGAAAATTTCCATTTCTTTTACAAATACATCACTAGGGTAGCGTGAATGCTGAAAAAATGATGGCAGCTCAGGGGAAGGCAGGGAAAATTCATGGCAGAGAGAGTCGTTGAGGTTTAGTAAATAGATAGAAATCACATCTGATTTAAGAAGAGTCTGAGCTAAGAATAGCTGGGAGCTGTAAAGGTATTAAATATAGCAGCTCTCGCCTCACCATCTGCTGAGCACTGACTGCACACACAGTTGGCTTTACCCTGCCTGGGAAAAGAGGCTGGAAAAGTGAATAAAGTTTGCAAGTAAATTGTCTCATAACCTGCAGGAAATGGTGAGCTGAGTGGTGCAAAACAAACCCCTGCTGGACAGTGAGGAATCCGAGCAGAACACCTGGGCATCCCTTCTGTCACAAAGGAAGCAAAAAGTAGAGGGTAAACTGGAGTTATAATTCAGCACTGTGTTGGCAGGTTAATGGCAGGCTCAGAGTAACAGTGTAAAGTCTCAGAAATACTTGGCAGTGCATTTTAAACCTCTAAAATATGAATATTTAGCAAGTGAATGAGATGCATGGAGAAGGAACAGCTGATGTGTAGTGGCACTGTGGGAAAAGTTGTGTCTTCTGGCTTAACCTTTCAAGAGAATAAATTTGTGACTTGGAAAGAGTAAAAAAAAAAAAAAAAAAAGTGTGGATCAGACTGGTCTGAATTTTAACTGTGCTGAGGGCTGTAGGAACTGCAAAGCCTATGAGCAGGCCTGCATCCAGGTGAAAAATCCCAGTGAGCAGACCTAAGGTTATTGGTCAGTGGTCTCAGGGAAAGAACAAACAACTCCCTGCGTTTTTACAGGGCAGTAATGACATTTAATGCCAGAGTGTTCAACTGAAAAAGATGTTCATGTTGAGGAAGTAACTAAAAGGCTGAGATTTTAAATGTAAATGTAGGCCAGACAGAACTTCCTTTGTATTTGCAGCGAGCAGTGTCAGCAGAGGCCAGGCAGAGCACAGAAAACCTTGGAAATTAAAGGCAGCAGATTGTTTATCAGTGAATGCACTGGCCTGCAATGACCTCCTGAGCAAGCAAGAGAAGAAAGCAAAATGGCAATCCAATAAAACAGGATTGCACAGGATGCAGTCATAGTTCTGTTTGAATTATGTACATTAGAATAAAAAAGCAAACTAGGCTACCACTGCACTGATAAATCAAGAAAACTGTGGCCAGCTATCCTGTCTGAAAGTAGCTGGGTGTAAATAGAAGCACCTAGAAAAAGTCATATGCTGATTGAGCTGGGCCCACTCTTATAATAAAGTTGGTGTATTTTCAAATAAAGGCCCCTATTAGCAGTAATTAATGAAAGGAAAGGGTACAGGGTACATGGTGATGCTCACATGGCAGGTGTGGGTTCCTGTGCTCACAGCAGTGCAGCAGGAGGGGCTGCTCTCTGCTCTTTTAAGAGCTTTTAAAAAGTGGTTTCTAATTTAAATGCATTTAAACCACCCTCAGTGCTCCCCAGCTGGGACTGCCCAGCCACGGAGATGGGATGTGTGCACCAGCCTCTTACTGGGAGCATTTACAGAGGGAACACCCAGGGAGAGGGGGGTGAACCCTCTGCCTGCCAAGCTCGGTGTCAGCTCTGAGGCAGAATTTGCAAAGCAGCTGGGAGTAAATTGTAAGATGTTTTTTAAGTGCTGATATCTGCAGTTTTGTTGGGGTGCCCAAGTGCTGGGAGAAGATTTTTGTCTGCCCTCCAGTCCTCCTGAGGAGAGAGGGTCGTTCAGAGCTGCTCCAAAGGCCATCTGCAGTCACACCAACCAGCACAAAGAGATGGAAACGAGCGATGTCCTGCATGGGAGGCTGGCACAAAAGGCAGGGACGGGTCCTCTTGCTGCAGATCACCGTTTTGAGCAGTGCCACAACTGCACAGGGGTGCAGCAGTGAAACGTTTCAGCAGCTGTGGCATGTCAGGCAGTCCCTGTGGAAAATGGATGTTCCCTGCTGGCCGTGCCCCAGAGATGTGAGTCGCTGCAGTACAGTTGGATTAACTGGCACAGTCAGTCTGAGTGCAGCCACAGCAGCATTGCACACAGCTGGGGCTCCTGCAAATGACTGCCAGCAGAAACCAGACACGAGGCAAGTGAGAACAGGGCTGCTTGTGCGGGGATTGGTGCTGGGGCAAGGGGTGCTGTGATTCTGGGAGCACGAAAATGCACCTGCAGGGTGAGAACACACCACAGGGCCACAGCTTGGCTGGGACAGGCTGTGATTTTGGGATAGTTCTGGGTTCTGTCCCTGCCCCCCAGTGTGTCCAGAAGGTGTTTGAAGCATTCAGAGCTATAATTCACATCAACCCTTCGAGTGTCCCTCTGTTTGTTCACTGTTATCACTGGTAATGTTTAAATCCTTTGCCCAAGGTGGCAACCCCCTAAATGCACCTGGGAGTAAACACCTCAGGACTGTGAAGAACTGGCAGCTCTCCCAAAGGTAAACTGTTAACTGTTAGCAGGATTATTAAGTACTCCATGGCCCCTTACAATTGCAGCCAACCTATTGGAAAGAGCAGGTTTTTTAATGCTGGATATTTTCTGCAGATTGCAATAATCGCTCCTTCAGGCAATCATATTTTTCCTATTTATATAAAACTGTGGGTAAGAGATTAAATAATGCTGGAGTCTGTTCTGCTGGAGTAACACTGTGATGAGTGGTTACTGTAATCAAGTTAGTGTAATTAATTTCATAATGAGCTTTTCAAGAACCTGTGTGATTTCATGGATCTCCAAGATGTTGGTCACATGTTTTGGTAACCCTGCAGAGGAGATGTTCTTTGGATCACAATTAGGAAAGCTAATTAGCAGTGGAATGGTTTCACATGGAAAAGGCAGATTTTGATTTAGAGTGGGACTTTCAGCTGGGATGATGAAGTGGAGTGGGGAGGTGGGATGATGAGGATAGGCAGGGATGGGCCATAAATGAGGTTAACTGGGACATGGAAGGTATTTCTTTCATAGTCTGGTTTTAATTTTCTCTATAAGTTAATTGTATCAGACACAGTGACTTTATTGACTGCATATTAGTATTTATTGACTACATATGAGTCAATAAATAAGTTCAGTAAGGGTGTTTAGCTGAAGCTTTCTCTTTATTCAGGATAAATGCAATTTGTATTAAATGGTGGTACAGTCATTGATCATTATTTGCATTTTTTCACAGTTGTAATCCCTTTATCTTCCAGCAGTTCCTCAGGATTCCCAGTCAGCATCCACTCGTGTTGCTGATGGAGCTGCTCTCCTGACCCCTCCATTCCCCTCAGCTCCACCAGCAATTCTGTCCTCCCTGCCAAATTCCAATTCCTTACTCCAAAATACGGAGGTAGAAAAGCTTCTTGAAGAAATAGATGTGTCTCAAGCAGTAAGAGGGGTTTAAAACAATTTCCATATTTGTGCACAGAAATGACTAATTATTTTGACTGAGAATTCAGGGGAGAGACAGGAGGGTGGGAATATCAGTCTGAGGCAGATGCTTCAGTGTGTAATTTCAGCACAAACTCTCATTTGGCCAAGGTACAAGAAACTGAAAGCAGTTGAAGTGTTTTTAGGCTTCAAGAAGAAGAGATTTGATACAGTGGGTACTTTTCTGGAGTTCTCCTGCAAAGTCACACTCGTGGAATTCGTGTTTAATTTTATACAAAGTCATTTTGCAAGCTTATCCTGGAATGTTGGGCTGGGAGAGGGGTGATGCCTCCATCACACTCATCCTCCCCATGAATCCCCCCACTTCCAAAGAAGTAGAAATAATTTTCCATAAAAAGATTCTTTCTGAAGATTTTTTTTTCACTCTTACACGAGAGTAGGTTTGTCTACCCTGGTGAACCCATCTATTTTAAGGAAGAAAAATAACATCTTGAACTCTCCATTTTGGTTCTTAGCCAGTTTGGATTGTGAATAAAACACCTCCCTTGCTACTTTGATAGCTTTTAAAACCTATTGGTAAGTTTTTCCTACTATTCTACCTTTTTATTTATTTATTTTCTTTATTTTTACCTTGCTGTCCTTTTATATACAATATAATTAGTCCCATTGACTAAACAGTGGCCAGTGGCTCACAGAGGCTTCTGAGTGTTTTAATACAGTTATAGTAAGTCTAGAAAATCATTAGGTTTCAAAATTAAATATTTTGGGTTGAGATATCAGATAATTGAGAGTGCATTGTCTCAAACTAGGTAAATTATGCACACTTTTATACCCTCAAACCACACATTATTGTAATTGGTACAGATATTTCCACTTGTTCTCCTTCCCAGACAAAGTTCTGGGTCTTGGTGTTAGAAAGGTTTGGGTGAAAGTGATGCCTGTTCCGAAGTGTTACAGTTTGAAAAAAGGTGATGTAAAATCCAGCACAGATTTCCTTCTTTTTAAAAAGAATAAAACATTTTTTTACAGAGTTATTGGGGTTTGTTTGTTTGCTGCTGTATGTGATGTTAATTTATCCATCATAAGCTCCACCACGGTTATCACAGAGCTTTTTGCTGTTTCAGGTCTTGTCTTCATCTGCCATGGAAGATTTGGGGTTTTTTTTATGTGAAAAAAAAGTCATTGTAATTGGTTATGCCATGTAAAGGAATAATGGTTAATTGTCAAAACAGTTTTTCCAAGAAAACTCTCTGGGAAAAATGATTTAATTGTTCACTTGGTAAGCCCTTGGAAATATTGTTTTCTAGGTCTTAAGCTGTAATTAAGGTGCAGTCATTTCAGTGTATCCCACTTAAAGTTCCTAATTTCCTAAACTAAGGATTCCCTCCCTTCAAACTGCTGCTGAACAGCAAATCCTGAGTGGCTGCAAGTTCTTTTTTTTTTATTTTTAACCAACTTGCTGAGCTTTGGTGGTTTTGTTGGGTGCTTTGTGCTGTTTGTTCAGTACTTTTGGTGTCTCCACGTGTGTCTTTAAAAGGATTTTTAGGAAAGGCAACAAAATGGCTTTTAAGTAACTTTCATTTTCAAGTGGTTTTCCTTGTCTCCTTTTTCCATTCTTTATTCCTCTTATTATCCTGACAGTTCTCTGCTGCTTGTTAAATTAAGAAATCCCACTGAATAATTGCAACCTGATTTGATTTGGTTATCTGCAGAATGGAATTTGTGATACCTCGTGTGACATCACTGCAGCAACATCCCGTGTTACTGAATTCCTACAACTACACAGAATTAATCTCTTAGTTTATATTTTGAATTGGCAGCTTAATAGTGAATTCATTTTCTCCTCTTAGCAGTGTGAAACCATAACTAGGTTGAGAGTAAAGGCAGTTTCCAGTAACCTAAATATAAAAGCTGTGGAGAAACCTGTCAGTTTGTGTTCAGCATCACGGAGGGCTTGAAGTGTCAGGGTGAAAATCAGCTCTTTTTTGTGAAGAAAGCTCCAGTAACCACTGCTCCTTGGTGATTTATGGTGCCCCCATAGCAGGAGGGGTTCTCTTAAAGAACAGGTTTCATGTGAACTCCAGTCCTGTCGTGTAGGAGAAGGTTCTTCAGGGGTTTGGGGCCAACACCCGTTCAGAGTTTTGCTCAGTTCGTGAAAATTAAAGAGCAGAAATAATTGGTTTTCACTGTGTATCTAATTATAAACCACATTTGACAATGCAGTTCCTAACTCATTAGTTGTAATACCTTTCCCTGCTTGTGTTCCTGTGTCTCTTCAAATACCTTCTGAGCTTTGAACACATCTGCTTACACACTCAGTGTGTGATGCAGAGACTCACTCAGGAACTGCCCAGAAAGATACTTTGCATTGGAAACCTCAATTAGTAGTTCAAATTCTTAATTACTTTACAGCATGCTGTTCTTTCTTTATGTAGGACACCTCTAAAATGGATAATTCTTAAAAAAGCTTTTCCTCTTTATGTGCCCTGTTGCATTTTTCTTCATTTTCAGTGTAGTAATTGCGGTGTTTTATTGATATCTTTGTCTTTTTCTCAACAGTTTTCAAAGTCTTGTTAATGTGATGGCATAAACCAGTAAAGCCCTTGGATTTACAACATGGAAATCAGCAATGGTGATATTATTTGATATTATTTGATATTATTTGAGTGGCACAGGAAGAGTCTGCTGTATGAAATGCCAGAAGTTTTTATTTCTTCTAGTTTTGCAATGGTAAGTTTTTCCATTTTCTTTAGAAACCAGCAGATCAGTCAGAGTTTATTCTTACATATGATTTCTGCTGAGTGCAGGAGTGACCACCAACCCAAGCATGCATTTGAATGTGGTTTAGTTCATGCCGTTGGTGTTGATTTGAGGTCTCAGGTGCTCATCCTTCAGTGCTGCAACAACCAGGGAGAAGTGGAATATGTAAATAAAACCTGCTTTTCCTGTTTGGGTTCAACCCCAGGTGTGCTCACCCTCCAGAAACCATTGAGCTGCTGTGCAGAAAAAGGGAGAATACCCAGACAAACTTATCCATGTGGAAAATAGGTGTAAAAACCCCTTATGGACCACACAGAATGTTTCTCTCTCTCCAAGTCAGCCACTGATGTTTTGCACGTTTGCCCTTTGCCATATTATTTTCATTTTCTCTGGGGGCATTGGGCACTCACCCTTTTTTCACTCCTAAATGGCCAGGATGGGAGTCAGTGCTGGAGCAGTTCTTCAGATGGATTTCCAGGAGGACAAACAGTGCACCTTGCCAGGCACAGCTGAGCAGGGGGTTGGAGCAGCACAAATAAAGTGCAGTTTGGAGAGCACGTGGAAGTTCCCCTTTGTAACTGTCTTTTCCTTGTTACACAGGATGGTGTGCTGGCTTACAGGCAATACTTTTAGGGTACATTTCATTAAGAAATACCACTTGCATTGTGAATTCCCAAACATACTAATTGCTGTGAATTGTCAAACAGAACTGTGTTGGTTAAGAGTGTGCTGGTCTTGTTCTCTCTCTTCTGTGCTGGGACCATGTGACACTTAAATTCTCACAAATCTGCTATTTTATGTTCTTTTTTTTATCTCCTTGGCTGAAAATGAAGAACACCTATTGAAACTCTTTCTAAGTAACGTGGGAAAGGTTTGATTCCATATTTAAAATTTTAAGTCTCCACGTCAAGTGTCAGTTGAGCAGGTGTGTATAATCTGGAGTTTGGCACTATGCACAGATGTGGATCTGTTCATTAGCATGGCTGTCGTGACAGAGCTGTGGGGATGTGCAGTTTGACACGTTGAATTTTTAAAGGTGAAATGAATAGAAGGGTAAGGCTGAACTGGTCTCTCTTAAAAATGTTATTTTTGAGGTTGCCGAGCACTCCTGCATTTCACCCTGAAATGTGAAATACAGACACTCTCTAATGGGGTGTTTCAAACTCCTCTTTGACTCTGAATTTACTTAACTCTGATGGAGGTGATGATTCATCTCACCAACTGTATGGAAAGTTTAAAAGGGGACGAGACTTGGGAAACCTTCTGATACCTCAGAGATTACTGAGAGAGCCAGGCTTTTGGTTGTAAGTGATGTAAAAACATACCTGGGCACGGGAAAAAAATATTTTCATTGTAAAGACAAACACTGGCACAAATTGCCCAGAGAGGTTGTGGGATGTCTGTGCTCAGTGTTTTCGAGACCCAGCTGGTGCACAGTGTCCCATGGAGCTACATCTGAATTTAGTCCTGATGTTCTTCAGGGTTACCTTCCAGAGTCCTTTCCAAGTGGAATGATTGTATGATTCTGAGTCAGAGATTTTGTTATATTTCATTTTTACTCTTAATGACTGTAAGTGTTTTTTTACTGGCGTGCTCTGTTTTTTTTTTGATTCCCTGTTAAATTAGAATTGCAGTTCTCATTAATAAGTGATTTGGTTTTGCTTTAAGCAGCAAGTGAGCGAGCAAATGTGATTTTAATGGTTTACTTCTTAATGTGTGAAACCATGTAACTGGAAATGGTGGGATATTAGGAGTGCCAGCTCCTACCTCTTACCAGAACAGACAATTAATAATACCAGTCCATTATCACACAGGTACAATACATAAAACCTGTGTGTTTTAATGACTAGAGCCCAAGTGGAACATTCCAGCCTTACATAAGGCACAAATATGAACAACATTCCCACACGAGTACTGAAGCCAGAACAACCACAAATACCAAGTCAGCTACTTTGTAGCTGGGATGGAAAACTTTTTAATGACCCAAAGAAGTAGCACAGGAAGGAGTGGTGTGAATGCACTGCAGGGCTTGCTCAGTTTTACACTGGTGTGTCTGTGACAGAATATTCCGTGGATTTGCTGGGCCTGGAGGTGCTTTTTAAATATTTCTTTCTGACTGTTGCGTTTCCGTCTTTTTGAAGGTTTCCCAATGAGCGGATCAGGATGAGCACACTTTAGGGACTCGCCGTAGTATGGCTGCTTCTCGATCCACTCGTGTGACAAGATCTACAGTGGGTTTGAACGGTTTGGATGAAAACTTCTGTGGCAGAACCCTGAGGAACCGCAGCATCGCTCACCCGGAGGAGGTCTCGCCCCATCCGCAGATCCGATCGCGCTCACCAAAGAAGAGGCCCGAGGCCGTGCCGGCTCCCAGGGGCACCAACGGCGGCAGAGCCGCTGAGGTGAAGCAGCAGAGCGCTCGGGAGCCGTGGGTGAGCCCCAGGAAGAGAGGGCTGTCGGCTTCCGAGAAGGACCATGCGGACAGGCAGCCCGCGGAGCACGGCGAGAGGCGGCCGGCGGAGCCCGCGTCGCCCGTGCTGAAGAGGATCAAGCGCTGCCTGCGCTCCGAGGCTCCCGCCAGCTCCGAGGAGCTGCCTCCCAAAGCGGAGAAGGAGCCGGCGGAGCGCAAGAGCTCCGTGTCGGACAATGACGCGGGCGCCAGGCGGGCTTGCCGGTGTCTCCTACTGGATGACTGTGAGAAAAGGGAAGTTAAAAAGGTGAACGCCTGCGCAGAGGGGTTTCACAACTCTGCGGCGGCCGAGGAGGTTGCGGGTTATCAGACTGTCAATGGAGTTGGGGAGAGGGACTCCAATTCTCTGAGCTGTGACGAGTGCCGGCTCGATGGGAACGCCAAGCAGAACAGCGCCGGTGCCCGCCCGCCCAAGGACAAAACGGTAGCAGAAAACGGAAACTCGTTTGCCCATTCTTCGTTGCCGCTTAACAGCGGCAAAGAGGACGGCGTTGTAGACCATTATGTGCCTTGCACAAACTCTCAAGAACAGGTAAAGTTGGAGGACCACAAAATAATAAATGACTGCTTGCCCGAGGAGCGTGGCAGTCAGGCCTATGAGCCAGCCCCGGGGTCCTTTTCCGGAACTCCAGCCGTCTTTGTTGAGGGATTCGGAGGAGGAGGTGGACGTGGTGGGAGACAGCAGTGCCTCTAAGGAACAGTGCGCTGACAACACCAACGGCAGCCCCAGCGCTCCTCACGACAGTGCATCGTCGATCTCAGGTGAACCTGAAGCGCATCCTGCAGTGCTGAACTGCGGCCCAGCCCCGGTGACGTCCGTGCTGGACCTGCAGGAGCACAGATACACGTTGAGAACTTCCCCCCGCAGGGCCGGCCCCGCCAGAGGCAGCCCCACCAAAAACAACTCCCCCTGCCGAGAGAACGGGCAGCTGGAGGAGAACAACCTTAGCCCTGCCGAAAAGAACGGACCTGTAGGTATCCCCAGCGTCAATGGATCTCCCCAAAAGCCCGAAGAAATCAAACAGAACGAAAAGGAGAGGAGTTGTAACGCGGGGGATGGTGGCAGTGACGGGCTGAGGAAGCCGCTCTCTGAGACTAGGCTTGTTGCTGGCTGTGTCCCATCTGCCAAAGAGAGTGCCAACATCCACCCTGCAGAGGAGGATGAGGAAGAGCCCGATGTGTATTACTTTGAGTCAGATCATGTGGCATTGAAACACAACAAAGAGTATGTGTAACTATGGTAACCATGAATTCTGCTTTTGTTTCTTACCCAAAAAAAATAGAGAAATCATTAAGTGTTTTAAAGTCCTTCCACACACAAAAAAAATTGAAGCGCTTTATAATTTTCGTACTCTTCAGTCTTCGTTTTTCTTCCTTGTTTCTACCTCAAACGAAATTAAACTCTATTTAATATGCAGTATGGTACAGCAATGTGGTTTATACATTTCTAGCAATAGGAATTCTTTAGCCAGAACTTTTTTTTTTTTTTAAAGGGTGGGGGGGAGGTTTTTGTGTGTCTAAAAATGCATCTGTTACTGCTTTTCTCTTAAAAACTAGCTGGAAAGAAAACCAAAGGTATCATAACCTTTCATTAGATTTCAGTGATTTATCAGCAATATTTATGCAATAGGCACTGCAAATACAGCTTATGCAATTATCATAATGGAATTTAAGGTTAGATCCTTTCTTCAGAGTGTCATGGGAAAGACTCAGCATTATTGTGTTCAGGAAGATTAATTGATCAAATGCAGCGATTTCAGAACTTTGTCCAGGGTGAATTATGTCTACATTGCTACTTATATTTGTTAAATGTAAACATAGGCATGTTCCAGTTATCATCAGGAAAGAGCACTAACTTGTTTTTGTGTTTGCCATCTGTAAGTAGGACTGTGGGAATTATACATTTGTGGGAAGTGGGAGAGAGATTTTTGAAACCAGAGGGCGACTCCCTCCCTGAAGAAAGTTTTCAGGGAGAAAAACCTGCCTTCAGATAATAGATCAGGACACAGTTTTTGTTTCACAGCCTCTGTAACGCTGCTTTGACTTCTGTGTTTTGCTGTTCAGGAGGGGCTCTGTGTTTGGCTGTGGGTTCTGACAGTGCAGATGATCTCCAGTTTGCTTCCTATGAGGAGTTGAGCCACTGGTAGCAGTTTGTGTAAATGGTCACAGCAGCAGTTCCTGTGAATCCAGGATGATTGTTTAATCCAGCGTGGCTGGGGGTTGATACGGGAGTTGAGTTATTTCATAAAGAAATTTTGTTCAGTCTTGAATCTGAATAAATCATTTGAATCGGAAAATTTGGAATTTGAGCATGGTTTAGACAAATTGTGATTTCAGAATGATGGTCAGATACCTGCAGCTTCAGCCACTGGTCTAAAGTGGCCACTTTCCCTGGTAGATAGAAAACAGATTGCTGTTCCCTGAGTTAAAATTTGGAGAAATGGACTGTTGTGCTTTGGCCTCTTTGGCTGGTTTTGTATCTGTATGTGATGGGGCTGTGGCTGATGGTAGGACAGATACAGGAGTAACAGGGGGGGTTGTGTTTATTGGGAAAAGAATTCCAGAGGTGCCATCAGGCAGTTTTAGCAGAATTAGAGACAAAGAATTCCAGGATTCTCATGTTACTAATGCAGGTTCAGCTTCAAGCCCAGGCTGCTCCCTTGGCCTGTGGTGTGTGTGGCTGATGAAGTGTTGCTGGTGGTGTGTTCATCACAGCTTGGCTGTCCTGCCCCTCATCACTTGGGGATTGCAAGGGTTGATTTTTCCCCTGGTTTGGGTCTCTGTTCTCTTTTACAAGCCAGTTCAGAGGGTCATCAGCATCTTGTCTAGAGTTCTCCAAGAAGGCATTAATACCATTCTTTGAATGCTCCACAGAAGAAAAAAAAATCTCTATTTCCTGTGTGCCATAGCTGTAAATTTACATTATTTCTTGTTGCATTGTGTGGCTTGATGACATACCCATTCATGCAGCTGTGTTCACTCTCCAGAAAATTACTGTGACACTGATAAAATATGAATATACCAAAACCTTCCAGAGCTGTTGATAAGACTTGCTACCAGGAGGACAACTAAGTGTACATTGTCAGATTTCTGTATGAATTTTGCTGCTTTTTTTTGAGTCCTGACATGTTTAAACAACATTCATGTATTAATATTTCTGGGAAAACTGGATTATGTAATGGGAAAAGTAATCATCACAGATTGCAGGATGTTGTTGTTCAGGGAGAAGGCTGAACTGATGGAAGTTCCACAACCCCTCTATTAAAATAGATCTCTCCTACAAGGACAGAGATGAGATCTCTAAACAGAAATTTTACCACAGCATAGCCGTTCTTGTGGATAATAACAGACTGGTCTAGGGGGTTGTATGGCTGTAAAGGATTGTTGATGTTGCTTTTGCTGTTGCTCCACACATAATTGGAGTTTTGGTGTATTGTAATTCCTCTCAGAGAAATCTGGTTTGGTGCCCATTTGAGAATTCTGTTCCTGTGTTCTGCCTCAGAACCCTTTGCATTTTCTCCTGAGATGCTTTCATCAAGACTGAACTTGTGGATTTAAATCTTCTTCCACTGCTGAATTTTACATGCTGGGCTTGGTATTTTGCATATGCCTTTCCTCAGGAGTTTCTCATGGCTCTTTGCTCTACCTTTTTATAGTGTAACTCCTTCTCATCCTGCAGTAGCTTCCTTTAATTTTCTGCCTTGTTCACTATTTTATTCTCAGTACTTTTTCCCCTTTGCCCAATGTTTCATTTAGTGCCCTTTTTATTTTTCCTCTGCACTCCCTTTGGAGCTGCTTGGCAGCTATTGGGGCTGCACGAGGGGAAAAAAATCTTTGTTTGACTTTTAGCTCTGGGTTCTCCATGAAAATGTACTGGAGTGATGAGTTTTCACCTACAGGGCATTTCTGGGACCCTGCCAAGTGCAGTTGGCTTTACAGGAACCACTGAGACCTGTAGGTGAGATCAATAAAACAAAAAACTATGCACAAGCAGCTGCCCACAGGCATTTAATTGCAACAGTTAAATAACCTTGTGTTTGCTCAGTAGATGGGTGTTTTCGTGTCTCTTTATTACTTGATAGTATTTAAAATCAGGAGAGCTGCACTGGCATTGAAAATGGAGACAGATTAACGGGGAGATTTTAATACACCTCTGAAAAGCCAGTCTTGTGAATTCTTACCCGTGGTGGGTTGGGTTGGTGCAGAGACCTTGGAGTGACAGAGGACCCTGTAGGATCAGATTTAACATCCACTTGATAATTCATGGCAGTACTGTTTGTCCTTTGATCCACCTTTAATACTCTATAAATGTGAGAACAGAAACACCTGTGACACTGCCTGTGCTGTAGGTTCTGTATTTTATTCACTCACAGATTTTCTCCTGAAGCATCAGATTAAGCAGCAAAGTTCACCTGACTGCGCTTGGCCTGTCAGGGTAGGGTTTGGTGCCCCTTGCAGTACCAGTTATTCCAGAACTGCCTTCCTCACAATATTCTTGAGGTGTGGCTGTTTTGGAATCCTGTTCCTAAATTTCCAGCTCTCTAATCTTCTCATTTGGCCTGCACCACGTTTTTAACTTCAGTGGGAAAGATAAAAATATCCACGTCCCTCTTCGTGTACATTGGCTAAGAATAATAATATTAGATCAGTTGTGTCAGTTATCCCCAGATATTCAGCTGAGGTAAAATTGTTCACACATTTCTGTTAATGTGCAGATAACTCAGGTACTCCTGACGTTCCTCTGTAACCATCTCAGCTGATACTTCATTTTCCTGAGTTTTGGTCCGTGGGGACTTTGTTTCTGACTCTGTCTCATCTTAAGGAAGAAAGGGAATTGGTGCAAATCTTTTTGTAGCAGTGGGTTTAATACCTCTGAGTAATTCATAGACTGTAACATCAACATAGAAGAATTGATGAGTATACATTTTCAGTGGTGAGGAAAAATAGAAGTTAATAATTAAAAAATGCATCTGTGCCACATGTATTGGATTGCAGTGTGTTTTAATTCATCCTTTGTTCCACAGAAGTGCTGTGGCACACAGTGATATTTTTCCTTAAGCTGCCTATTCCTGTAAAACTAAAACATATGGAAAATGGGTGTTTTTTTCAGAGAGTGGTTTCTGCAGTCTGGTAGATGAGTCTGTGTTCTAATTAAGGACCAAAAAATAAAATTATCTTCAAGTAAAGTCACGTAGAAGTTGATCTGCAAAATAGAAATGTGATGGAAATCCATTAGAAACTTGTGAGTTTGTGATCAGCTGCAGTTTGGGTTTGCAGTACAAACAGTATTTGTGTCCACACCCCTGGAATTCTCTGCTGCTTCCCCTGCTTTTCAATTTGTGCCTGAGCTGCCAAGGCCTGGAATTGAGAGTGGGGACTCTGCAGCACCTCTGGATGTGTGTGCTGATGGATTGGTTGTGGAATGGGAAGAGGAACAGCTGAGTTCTGTTTGCTTTCTCCTGTAGGCACAGTGCCCGTGGGCTCTGCCCTTCCCAAGCTGCCAAGTTTTTGGGGACACACAGGAATTCCCTTGTCTTTCCCACTTCTTTGATCAACATGGATCAAAAATCATGGAAGCAGAAAATACACAATTATATATAAAAAAACCCCAAACCCTGCTATCACCACCACCAAATTGACTATTTTAATTCAGAAGAATATATAAAATCAGTTTTCTGCCTGCTTACCATTGCTAAGGCTCCTCATTCGTAAATTCATCTAAACTGGAAAATTAAGTATCAGTAAATAATAAAAATGGTTTGGGGGTGTAGGAAATGCCAGTTGGAAATAAATATCAAGTGCAATGCAATCGTGCAATGCAACAAATACCAAAGCCAAGGACCAGCTGTGTCCATGGTTTATTGTAAAGTGAGCCCTAACAAAAATACACATTTACCAATTTTCTTCCTTATTTCTAACTTTTCTTCCCCTTTTTTTACCCAAAGGTTGTTGAGTGAAGGATGCTTTGTGTTGCTCTTAGAACATTCATCTACTCATGAGTGTAATTCAGCGACTTGAGGGGAATTGCTGCTAAAAATTGGGGAAACCTGCTGGAAATGTGGATATTTTGGTGAAGGTGCTTTGCACAGCTGATGCCAAACCTTGCTGGGTGTGTTGGACAGCTCTTGACAAGAATTAAAAACCTGTAGGAATTTGGGAGTGGGTGTTGTGTTTCTGGGGAAGAGTTAAGAATTTTAGGAAAGAAGGGGACCTCAGGGGTTCATAGCTGATAAAATACTGGTCAGATGCTTGAAATAGAAAATCTGAAGCTGTGAGAGTTAAAAGGCAGGTAAAACTGGAGTGGAAAATTATTCTTTTGCATCCAGATAAGACACTGCAGTGGGATTTTTCGTTATGTTTATTAAAAATGTCCTGTAGAAAACTGTGCTTTTTGGCTTGGCTCTGCTTTGTTTCACACAGGTGTGAGGATGGCAGCCAGAAATAGTGATAAAATGGAGGTGCACTTTAATTATTTACTTGTCTTTGAAGTATTTTAAGAGGTCTGGATACTAAATGTGGGTAGTGAAAGTCCATTAATGACAGGGTGTGTAAGGAGGTTAAGGCAGGGGAGGAAGCAGTTCCAGGGTGAGCTGTAGAAGTGGCTGTAAGCAGATTACCTTGCTCAGTGTCTGGGCTTTAGGCAAGGCAAACCCTCCCCAGGATGAGTATCAGAATAATTCACAAGAAACCTCCGTGTCAGAATTGTTTTGTTGTGACCCTGGCAAAGACCTCGGGGCCAACCTAAAAAGCCCAGAGCATTTTGTGTGATCTGGGAGCACAAACAGAAGCCAACCCAAAACCCCCCGTGCTGCTCTGAGCTGACAGGGTTGTGTTTGATCTGACTGCCCAGGTTTCTCCAGGGAGCCTCAGCCTCCTGAACTGCCTTGGGTAACTTAGAAATTCCAAGTGCAATTAATGTTTCCCTTTTCCTACAATCATTTACAGACTGATGTTTAATATCCAATACTTTCTTGTCTTAGGATCTAATAAGGGAATTTTTTTTTTCCCCCTAAATTGCTGTTCTTAGACCAAAACCCAGAGTAATAAATGCCTTGGGTGTTGGAGAGCAGGTTGTAATCTGCACTTTGCTGCAGTGCCAGCAGATGGCAATGAAATAAAGACTTGCTCACATCCTCCTGCTGACTGATGCAGACAGGTCTGGAGTCGCAGCTCCTGGAAATACAAATTAACAAGGGTTTTTTCTGCGTGTATTTTAGCCATGTTTTGCTTTGAGACATGTATCCTCCTCCATGTAAAACAATTCCTACCTGCACAGGAGCTAAGCAGTATTTCAGAATTATGGGACAGATGTTTTTCCTGTCAAAGCCCTCAAACTGATGATAACTGTACATCTTAGCACAGTGTGAACTGCAGAAGTGCAGTTGGTTTTGGGAGTGGGAATTGGTGACCACAGCATCTTACAAGTCAGGAGGATAAATCACTTTTTATTTAGGTATCAAAGAACTTTTCTTTGCCAGGTACTAAATGATGTGAGGCAAGTAAGTTGCCAAAGTAATTTCAAGTGACTTTGGATATTGATTTTGAATTGATTTTGTTTTTTTTTTTCCTCGTGGTGTGAATGTAATCAACAGCCCCTTTATGCCATCCACTAATTTGAATTAGCTGCCTTAAAGTTCAAATCTTCATTTTGCAGTGTTCAGTTTCTCACATCACTCATTTGATGAAGGTTTAAAGGGAAAGGAAACCTTCAGAAAGCATGGAAGGACTGGCTGAATGACCCTTAATGTAATAATGAAAATAATTCATTTCAAGATGCTGAGTGACAGGCTGATGCCGTTTAGGATAAAAAACGAGAGTAAATTTAGGAAAGCTGCAGTTGTTCAGGCAGATTGACTCCCTGTGCATCTGGTGCTCTCTGCAGATTGCTGTCAGCTGCTGGTGCAGAGCACACACAGTCTGTGGTGTGGCTGTGGCAGTGCAGGTGTGGGTGGATGTCAGCAGGGAGCCCCACGATGGACACGGGTGGCACTGAGGCACCACCTCGCTGATGTCAGGCTTTGTCCCAGCAGGAGAGGAGGCTGCTGTGCCTGATCCCTGCCAGGACAGGCTCATCATGGAAATCAACACTAATTGCTTGTGGCAGGACGTGCAGAAACCTGGCCCTGCTCTGGGATGATGATTTCAGGGAGCGCTCCGAAAGCGTGGAGTTCTTATCACTGCAAAAGAAAAACGGCATCAGCAGGAATTCCTGCTGATCAGCACCAATCTGGAAGAAGGAACTTTTCTTTTTGAAATACCAGGCCCTCGACAAACCACGTTCATCAGGGGTTTGAAGCTGTTTCTGTGCTGCACTCCGTGATTCGAGTGCTGAACCGGAAGATTCCTGGCAGTGAAAATAATTTAAAAACCTGGCAAGAGCGTTTCAGTACTGGGATTGTGGAAACACACAGTTCCATTCTCTGCAGTGAACATTTTCCTGCTGCTGGGGGATTTTTATGTGCCAACAAGTGATTCTGTAGCCCTGAGGAGAAGTGTCACTGGGTCAGTGCTGGGAGGTTGCTCGGGTCAGGCATTTTCAGCTGGATGAGTGGTTTATTTTGGCTGAGGATGGGAGATCATTTTCACTGGTGATTACTGGCACATCTTTCAGAGCTGTAGTTGGATGAGTTACAGATGGTTGTTTTTTCCTCAGTGAAAGGTGGAGCCAGGTTTGCAGCAGAGGTTCTGGTTCCTTTGCCTTCATGACTTTGAATTTTGGAGAATTTTAACACAACTGCACCAGGTAGTTGGAATCAGAACTGTGCTTACTTACAAAGAACCTGGAAAGATGAGTAGTAAAATTGTTAGCTGGCTTTTTTTTTTTTGCTTTTTTTCTTTTTGTTTTAATAGTCCTGGCAATTATTCCCGTGGTGTGTTCTGTGTAGAAACATTATTTTAAGGTTCTGACAATGGCTTGATAAAATTGCAGCCTTATGCCTGGGCTCCAGAATACATTAATCTGTAAAAACTGATGGTGGAAGTTAAAGTAAATAGCTCCAAGTATAAAAAAAGCGCTGGGAGATGTTTCTGTAGGAAGCAGTTTGTTCAGAACCCCCTCTTCTCTCTTGAATGATTTCACTGTCGTGCTGCTCTGTAGCCACAGATCAACATCTCGTGTCGTGTTTTCCAAGGATCCCAACATCCTGGTGTTTTTGCTGATTGCCATGAAGCCAGTGGGGTCACGTGGATGTTTTCATGAGGGAACTCACTGGGCTTCAATATTCGTGTTTCCTTGTTATTTCTCCCCAAATGTAAACTCATCTCTTCCTGTTCAGGGTAAATTATTTAGGGCTGCCTCATTAAGATGATTCCATCCCTTACTTTACACATGTGAATCATTCAGTTATCCCTTCCTTTAAATCTCCCAACATTTGGTTGGGTTTTTTAATTCTGTGTATTTTAATATTTTAATGAAGTTTTTATTTTCTTTCCGTTTCCTTTAGAAAAGCAATTGCTTAAATACAGTTTGAATAAACCAGGTCAAAGAGCTCCAGAAAAGAATGTTAAATAAATACCTGCCCAGAAAAGAATGTTAAACAAATACCTGCCCTTTTCTTAGGTGTGACTTCCCAGTAGTGAAATTATGCCAGTACTGTCCCAATATTAATGGCCTATTTAATGTAATTAGTAATCAATTTATGACAGAATTGTATCCTCCTGTTTATAAACATTATTTTAGTTTCAAACTTCAGAAAGTAGAGCTGTGTTTTATGTTTTGAGTGGAAAGAAAATGACCCTTTTTCAGCAGGCTGGTGTCTGGGCAGAGGCTCCAATGTTTGAAGGTGCTTGAAGCCATTTACTCCCCCCTCTCCCAGCCTCACCCAATTTGTTTTTGGGCTTTATTTTCATGAGATGAAGTTGGTGCATCAACAATTTGCAGCAAGGGGGGCCGTGGGTGACGCTGGGATGGATGTCAGACCACAACAGTCAGCTGGGACTTTTTAAAGCTGATAAAAGCTCTTGAATGCAGGGAATTGGTTTGCAAAGGCTGTGTTGAGATTATTCCACTTCTGTATTCCTGGTGGAATCTGTCCTGTGTGTGTTTATTTTACAGATTGCTTGCTCTTTGCTTCGTGGGTGCCTTTCAGAAATGATTCTTGTGTTCTGCTCTGAGGGAGGGGGTTTTACAAAATGCTGAGAGTTTCCAAAGCCAGCCTGGGCGTGGTGGAGCAGAGTGTTCGAGTTCTGTGCTGCAGTCAGTTTTGTTGGGGTGGAAGGAAGCTGACAGTGAAATGAGAGAAATTAGAGAGAGAAATTAGGTCGAGTTTTTTTGGTGGTGTTTTTAACTTGGTAAGCAAAGCTTGTTGGTCACACCTGTCGAGAACATGAATGTAGATTGTCCCTGATACCACATTGCTTTAGCTAGCCCGGAATTTACAATTCGAGAAACCACCGGAGAGTTTAATTTTTATTTATTTTTTTTGTTCTGTGCGGGTTTCTATTCCATCTCCAACTTCCCATCCATCTGCTCTATTTCCAACACCATGCAGTGTAAAAATGCAATGTTTCAGCTGAGCTGGGGGTCGCTGGGCGAGGCCAACACAGTGAGATGTTTTCCTTTGTCTCTGTAGTTATCAGAGACTGTTACAGACGATTGCTGTGCTCGAGGCTCAACGGACTCAAGCAGTTCAAGACCTTGAAAGTTTAGGCAGACACCAGAGAGAAGCACTGAAAGATCCTATTGGATTTGTGGAAAGACTCCAGAAGAAGGTATTTCTATGGGCTTTTCCTAAGTCTTACTCGGAATTTTTATTTTTTTTTTAATAACTAGTAATTCATCATCTGTAGAAATGGGAGCACAGGTGTGTTCTTGCATAAATAACAGGTGTATACTTGCATAAAAATTAAGTTTAAAGTCCTTTATCTGCTGAGCAGCAATAGCCCTTTGGTTCCTTCTTAGATCTGTAAGACATAGGCCTTCAATGATTTTATTAGATACACTCTCTTTCCTTATTTTTTGGTACGTAGAAATGTAATTTTTAAAGTTGTAATAGGCATTTTAAGGCAACCTGAAATCTGTAGGTGACTGGAAGTATCAGATCGAAAATTCCTAGTTTTTCTGACGTGAGAAATGAAATGCTGTGCTTTGAGGGAACTTGGTAGGGTATTTCTTCGAGAACAGTTCAGAGTCTAAACCCAAAAGGAACAGCAGAAAACATACCTGACTTACAGACCCCAGAGTATTGGCTGGGAGAGGAGAGTTCATTTGGATACGGAAACATTTTGTTTGGAAGCTTTAAAAACAAAACAAAAAACACCAAAAAACCCAGTAGTAACAGGAATACTGAAAACAGGAATACTGAGAACATGTTTTCAGCTTGAACACTTTATCTGTGGGGCATCTGCCAGTGACAAAGCTGCCCCCCAGTCTGGCTGTGTTGGAGTGAGGGGTGCAGGGGGTGTTCCACGGTGTTCTTTTCCTGGGGTTGGAGAACCTGGCTGTGAGGGAAGGCCTTGCTGTCGATGGAAGTGTTGCATTTGATAATCACTTCATGAAGGTAGCTGGAGGTATTGGTGTGGTTTTGTCTCCAGACCAAAGGAATGGTGGAGTTGAGCTTTGTTTAGAGAGATGAGTTTACAGCAGGTGTAAGGCAGTCACATCAGTGCAAAATGGACACTGAGTTCTTCCATGGGAGAATTTTAGGCTTCTCAGGAGATAAAACTCCTGATCTTCTGGGCTCCTGTGTTCAGAAAGGTGCAGACCCTGAGCAAGTGGCATGTTTAACCCAAGGCAGATAGGCAGTGAGAGGGTGTTGGAGCAGGAGACCCCTGATTTCAGCTGTGACAGACACACCCCAGCTCTCTGCTCAATAAGCCATCATTGACCGTGCCGCTGCATATTTTATATGCACTGTTGTGTATGATTCTTCAAAGATACCTTCTCCTTCCAAACCCTGTGTGCTGCATGGCACTCCACAAGCTCTCATTTCCAATTCTGCTGTTGGCTGCAGGCGGTGTCGGCTCTGCAGCACGTCTCGGTATTTGTAGCTTTGGTTTGGGTGTCAAATATTGCTTTTCACTTTGCTTTTTTTTTTTTCAGGTTGATATGGGTCTTCCATATCCTCAGAGAGTTGTTCAGCTCCCTGAGATTGCCTGGGACCAATACACCACTAGCCTTGGGAACTTTGAGAGGGAATTCAAGAACCGCAAACGGAACAGCCGGAGAGTGAAGCTGATTTTTGACAAAGGTAAAGCGAGGTGGGCAAACGTCACAGGGAAGGAATGGCCAGTGGGGAGGGTTAGTAATTCTCTCTTTGCTTGCAGTAGGGGTACCTGCAAGACCAAAAAGTCCTTTGGATCCCAAGAAGGATGGAGAGGCTGTTTCGTACTCTGTCTTGCCTTTAAGCGATGGTCCAGAAGGTTCTACCAACAGTCGTCCACAGGTAGTTATTAAAAAGGAAAGAAAGAAATTTACAGAAGAGTAATTTTAATTATTATTATTATTTTCAATATGCATATGTGAATAATCTTACCTGTCACCTCAGATGTTCATATTATTGGTGCCATGTCATCCATCTACTCAAACCCTGGAACCTCCCTTTGGGTCAGGCAAATTTTACCTCAAATTCCCCTGGGTTTGTTTGGTGTGGGTCTGGTTTTACTTAGGGAGGAGAAGGGTTCAAATGCCTTTATCCTGACCATCCTTTCTCTGAACACCTGTTCCATTTTGTGTCCTGTATTGGAGCAGATGATAAGGGGGCGACTTTGTGATGAGACCAAACCTGAAACCTTTAACCAGCTGTGGACTGTAGAGGAACAGGTAACGGGAAACTCCTTCCTTTTTATCCCTGGGATGACACACAAAGTGTGGAACAGTGTTTATAGCACTTGGGAGCTCAGACTCACATGGGTGGAGATCCTTCTGCTAGGAAAAATGTATTTATTCTTTCTCACTGTTGATTTAGAAAAAACTTGAGCAGTTGCTTTTGAAGTATCCACCAGAGGAAGTGGAGTCCCGCCGGTGGCAGAAGATTGCTGATGAACTGGGAAACAGGACAGCAAAGCAGGTAACAAAACCACTTGGAGAACAAAACCACTTGGAGAAGTAGTTCCTTTTCTTAACACCAGTAAAGAGAATTCAGTGTATTTGCAGGGATCACAAAATGTCACAGCAGGGCCTGCAGTTCACTGATAGCAGTACAACTCTCAAAGTGCCCCAAAGCCCCTGGCAAAGCTGCCACACCCAGGTGTTGGTTAGATTTGGACAGCATGCATTTAATCCTGTGCAGAAAGTGCAGTGACACCAGCTGTGCTCACTCTGGGTTACCCTGGAGTGCTGAATTTCCTGCTCCTCCACACTGCAAATGGGAGCATCAGAGACAGAAGAGTTAGTTCTGTCACTGGGGCTGAGATCCACAAAAGGACTGAGATGTGGAGACACCAAATATTCCTGCAGCTGACTCCTGGAATTCTCCCCCTGAACTGACAGAATGTCTCCATTTTGAGGAGAAGTAAAAACATGCTGATGTTGTGTGTTTACAGCATTTTAATGTGTCCCATTTCAGTTGTGTTCAGCTGAAAGCACAGTGAAGTTTTTCAATATACAGGATTTCCTCAGCTCTGATCACATTTCTGCTTCTGGGTTATTGAAGAGCAGTTCCATTTCATCTGACAGCTAACTGTTGCATCTTGGGTTTTTTTCCTAGGTTGCCAGTAGAGTGCAAAAATATTTTATTAAGCTGACTAAAGCTGGTATTCCAGTTCCAGGAAGAACTCCAAACTTATATTTATATTCCAGAAAGGTGAGATGATATTCCAGCAGAAATCCTGTATTTGTGTTTGCATTTATGTGCAAGTTGGGTGGAAATCATTAACACTTTTAGTAGATTTAAGTCTTGATGAGTGCATTCTTACTAACTAGTTGCACCTTGCAAGTATTTCTTACTTGTAAACCTTTTTTCTTTTGCCAGTAGCCCTGTGCAGTGAGGGGATGGTAATTCTGGTTTCAAACTGACAGCTCTTAAGGGTCACAAAAGAGAATGCACTGCAGCTGAACTAACAGGGTTGGATTATGGTCCTTTCCTCATTGGTGAATTTACTATAATTGATCAAGAAGTGATAATGACAACCCTGTCTGTAATTCATACTATACAGTAATCCTCTAATTACCAACCCATATCACATCAAATATAACTGGATCAGCACAACCATAGGCTCCAGACTGAAATGTCATGCTTTGTTTTGGTGATTAAAATAGCTGGGTCATGTAAACAGCCATTAAAATACAGAGCTTTTCCTGAGCTTGGAATGGAGGAGAAGAGAGGATGGCCCTGAGAAAGGTTAATTTGCAAAAGAAAAGACTCAGTTTCTGAGCAGACCAGTCACATGCTTTAGGTGCTGATCCTGGATACTGTTGAGCACTGTACATTGATTCTGCAAAAAGACAAATTTGCAGGTTGAATCCCTTAAAATATATGGCTCTGTCTGCCACCTTGTCTGTTGGAAAAGTGCTTTCTGGCAGAAGAACCCAAAAATCCAGCTGGGAAATGCTGGTACCTTAAATACTGTGGTGAGATTCATCTGCCAGAATTCCAAATGACTTGCACAGTTGGGGCGAGTTTCTGTCGTGTGATATAAAAATCCTGATTTCAAAAGCAGTGCAAAATTCAGCTCTGGAAATTGCAATCCTGGGAGTCCTTCATGTCAACTGGACCACTCCAGATTACCCTGGTGACGTGGCTTTTCTTCCTTCCTCTTGGTTTCGTTTGGAAAGGCTGTTCCTGCAGACTCTGTGCTCTGCTGGATAAATTGTGGGAACACCTGACCAGTGCCTGGGGGACATTTTAATTGGAACAGTGATCCACAAAGCTCTTTAGCCCCACTGTGAGCAGGAATAAAACATATTTCCTAGAAAACTCTTAACAACACTCCCATTCCTGCAGGTTTTCCTCGGGTTTTTACGCAGGACAAAGCTCATCCTCCCATTTGTGTGATTCACATCCTCCTCCCCAGGAGGGTCACAGTGCCCTGCTCTGAGGCAGCATCTCCATTTCCTATCTGCAGCCTGTGCAAGGAGCACAGCAGATGGAAAAAAACCCACCAAACAAACAGCATTTGTGGGGGAATTGAGCTCTCAGGCTGCTGACAGAGCTGTGTGCTCAGAGCCCAATTGACAGCACTCACCAGGCTGCTGTTCCCAGCTCCCCAGTGCAGATAACACAGCGTGGCAGGAAGGGAATGCAGGAATTGTGTCAAAAGGGAGGCTTCACAAGGAACTCCTTGCACCTCTCCATGGGGATTGTCCAGGATGCTTTTTTCAAGTGGTTCCTGTTCAGTTCTTGAACATCTTGCTCGTATGACATGATGATGTCTCTGCTGACAAGTGCTGCAGGAAATTAAGCAAAGTCTATTTTCCTGTGTAACCATTATCCACTGGGGGTGAAAATAAACCTGCATCAGAGATTTAGGGCTCTAGCATTCAGTTCTTCAATTATGGCTTATCATTCTCACTTTAATGTTTATATAATATCAGCAGTGCACCTGCTTTTAAGCTTAATCCAGAAGATACATTTCCCAGAGGGAAAATGGGTTTTAACTGTCTGCTTTTAAGCAGTGTTTGGATTCATTTTTTTTAGCAGAGGCAGATCATGTTGAAAAGAGAATTCAACTCCTCAGGTAAATTCCTAGGTCATAACAACTCTGTGCATAACAGGGCTACCAAATAAGCACAGAGAGCGTCCCTGCCTTGATTTCCAGATGCTTTATCTGGATGTGAGAAGCCTCTCGTTAAAAAACCCTCTTTTCAATATTTCTGCTTTTTTGATTCACACAGATTTTATATTTTTTTCTTTTCCTAAATTGAGGAATGTCAGATTGGACGTTAAAAATGTCAAAATGCCAGCCTGCAAAGCAGCCAAGTTGAGTTGATTTAATTCACCCCAAATTCTTCTTTTTGCTATTTAATATTCTCCCGCTGGGGAATAAGTAATAGGGGCTGAGTGCCTGGCATGCTCTCTACACCTTCAGGCAGCATTAGAGCTGAGAGGTTTTAGATATATCCTAATGGAGGAATTTATCTCACCTGATATTTTTTAGGTGCCTTTTCCATGCGGTGACAGTGAAAAAGAACCTTCAGAGAGCAGTTCCTTCTGTCTCTTAGGAGGCTTTTATGGTGGAATGAATTGCTTTCCCTCTCCTGGACTAGGAGAGAAATATGGATAACTAACCTGGGCTTAGATTATTTTTTTTTTAAGGCACAAATAGAAGAAGTTGGTGAGAAGTTTAAATAATAACCGAGGGCCATTTTTAAAAATACACCCTTTTTTTCCCCCCTAGTCATCGAGTAGACGGCAACACCCTTTAAATAAACACCTTTTCAAACCTTCAACTTTCATGACATCCCATGAACCCCCCGTTTACATGGATGAGGATGATGACAGATGCAGCTTTCACAGCCACATGGACACTGCAGCAGAAGAGGAAGTGTCGGTACGTCCCTCAAATCACACCTTGTCCTGCTTTACTCTCTTCTTGCCCTTGTTTAGTGGATGATAGGATCAGATAAATAGCATATAAATATTGAGCAAATAAATACTGAGAGCGAATGGGAAGTCTGGAGAAGAGGCCACGTGAACAGTCTGGTCCTGGAACAGCTCTCAAACAGGTTTTAGTTTGCATGTTTTCCAAAAGTGCTCTGGCATGACATGGGTTTGAAACTGCTGTTAACTGTGTAGCTGAGATCCTGGTTAAAGGTGTGCTTAGGGAAGTTGTGTCGAGCTCTGGCAGAGTTCAGGTGCTGTTTGTTGCTTTTTGTTGCCTTTTGCTGGCTGAGTGGGTGATGGAGTTCGTGTGAACTGACAGGCTGAGCTGTCGATCAATCAACAACCACATTTGTGTGTTCCTAGAGGCACATCGTGGTAGACATCCTAACCCAGTGATTCACTCCTCATTCTCAGGCTCAAATCCCATCTTCACTGTCACTCAGTGTTCTCTGGTGGTCTCTTAGTTCATCTGCACACACTCCTGATAACTTCACATATTCCAGTAGGAACCTTAAAGGGCCTGGGAAGCAAAAAGCATCTCAGAGGAGGTGCAGTGGAACTGTTTCTGAGCACACCTGCTTTTGGTCTGCATTATTTTCATATTTTCTGTCTGTTCTGACCAGTTTTCTAAAACATTTCAGTTTTGCTGTGGTGTCTCAGTCTAAAAAATGTGGGCACCGTAAATCACCTGGGGTTTATTCTAAAAGCAAAAGCAGTTTGGAAGCAAAAAGAGGATCATAAACTGTGTTCAAAATGAGTGTGCAGGACGCTGTTCTAATGTTCCAATTGACAGTCACTGTCTTGGAGAAGAACACTTGGCATCACTGGGCAGGAGAAATGCAGTGTAGCAGGAAAATCAGGTTTTCCCAGTGGAATTACCAGGTGCCATTCCTGTGCCAAGACCAAAGATTTTGCCTGAGTATTTTTGACTGGCAAAACTATTCCTGAAAAAAATTTATATTTTGGTGTAAATGAGTTATTTCCAAGCGAAGAAACAGCATTCCCAGCAGAGTTCATTTGCTTTTCAGTTATGATTTCTTAATTTTCTGAGTAGTCTCATTATTCTGGAATGGAGCTGCTTGCTGTTGCAGAATGGATTGTCCACACAGGGGGCTGTTAAAGAACACTTTATTCAATATACAGTTATTTGGTGCCAGGAGGTTTTTCCTCAGAGAAACTTGGGATTTGCATGGAAGGTAAATCCCTGTTTTATATTAGGGGGATGTAGCTCATCACCACACACCTGAACCACGCCATTTAAACATCATTTTTCTGAACACTGGCAGCCTAGTCCTTCATCTAAGTTCATAATTACAGTTAAATAATTGAGAAGGCCTTTAGCAATTTAATACTAAAGAGCAAGCCTCTTTCCCTCACTTCCTTTAATTAACTTAGTCAATAATACAGGATCTTCAATCTTCACAGATTTGTAAGAAGAAATGACAGATTTAGGCTACATTAGAGGAATTTTAATTGCTGGTGCAGGGTCTGAAAACTGCTCTGTGCCTTTGCACACAGGTGACATCTGCCAAGCAGAGCTGCTGCAATAAAACAATTGTCGTGCAATTGTGAAGAGTGAAGAGAAAGGTCAATTAACTTGATAAAACTGACCTGAAATTTTAGTTCTCTGCTGCATCATCTGTTGCCCAGTGTGCAGAGCTACAATAAATTTGTCTTAAAGCAGAGCTGACTCTCCTGCTGCAGCTGTGCCTGGACAAGGGGATTATTTCTAAGATGAGAAAAAAAACCCCACCAAAATAGACATTCAAGTGAGGCACTGCTGTCTTTCTACCACAGCTAAGGCCTTCACCAGGAGACACTTGTTTGTGGGGTACTGGGGGGTTTGTTTTAATTAATAAAGCATAAAAATGGAAAGTAACCTGTAAGTGCTGAGTGCACTGCTTGGTGCTTTGTTTGTAGAAATATTTCCCCAGCATGTTAGGATAGATTGCCATCTTTCTCTCAGTGATCATTAATCACACACAGTGATTTCTGGAAAGATTTTGTTCCAACATTCCCAAAGTGAGGCTGTTTCTGTTTGGCCCAGGATGAAGAGAGTATTCCAGTGACATACCGAGAGTTACCCGAGTACAAAGAGCTGCTGGAGTTTAAAAAGCTGAAGAAGCAGAAGCTGCAGCAGATGCACGCAGAGAGTGGCTTTGTGCAGCACGTGGGCTTCAAGGTGAGTGCCAGAGAAGTTCTCCCCTCGCTCAGAGCAGTCCAGAAGTTTTCCAGGAGGGCGTGGTTTGGATTCCTTGGGAAGATTTGGTTTCATCCAGGTTGGGTTCCTCAGTTCTTGTTCTCTGTGTCTGCTTTCCCCTCAGTTCCTTCCATAAAAACAGCCCCCATCATTCACTCTGGGGTGGCTCTGAATGCTGATGCTGATGGAAATGAATAAACATTCCCTCTTTTCCTCACTGTTAGGGAAATGCAGCTGGTCATGGAGCCCTGTGAAGTCATTACAGATTCCACTGGACACTGCATTGTTTTAACAATCATTCATGATTGTTCTCTGATTGAGTCAGGAGTTATTTTGCCTCCTCCTGAGGCCAAGCAAGGGACAAAGATTTTTAATAACAGTCACAGGTTAATATTTCCTTTATTTTGTAGCAACTTCACAATCCTATCAAGTAATAACTCACTGAAGTTGAAGCAAGGCCACAAAACAATATTTACCTAAAATGTTTCTTTCCTAACATCCATTTCTGTAAAAATCCAGAGATACTCAGTTCAGGGTGCAGTTCAAAATGACTGCAGAGTGGAGACAGATTCATCACTTGATATGGACAAACTTAATCCAGTTGTTAGACCACCAACATTGATCTAACAATAAAAAATGCTGTTTATTTTTGCTGCCTTTAGCCAGCAGGGTGTGTTTGGTGTTTTGTTTTGGGGGGATTTTTTCAAATTAGCATTTTCTTCCCCCAAAAATCAAAACTTCATCAGGCAGAGCAGACTCTGAGGTAACAAACTCATTGCTTTTGCTTCATCAAATTATTCTGAGAAGTAAATTGGCATTACACATTGTCAAGCATCTGAACTTTGGAAGTTTCTTTACCCTGAATTTATTGTCTCCTGCATTACAGTAAGCTGGGAAATGAGGTGATCAGTTCTGTTTTCCCTCAGGAATTCTGCCTTGGGCTGGATGGGCCTCCCCTAAGGAAACCCTTGAGAGCAGCACTGGTTCTGCGTGGCCCTCAGCCTCATTTACTGCACATTATTCAAACTCTGCTTTGAATATGGAATTGTTGAGTGCCTTGGGGGCTCTTTATGGCTTTCATTGCTATGATATCAGAGCACTTTGGAAATACTTCTTTTTTTTTTCATCAGCAAATGACAGGCACAGCATTGTTTTTGTTTCACAGGGGACAGGGAAGTTGAAGCACAAAAATTCAGATCAAGGGTTTCCAGTGCCTTGGTTCTCAAATTCAGATAACTGGAACCAGTTTATATTTTTTATTCAGTTTTAGCATTATTCCTAACTTAGTCCCTCCTCAGGACCAGCCCTCGAGCTGGGAGAGCCTGTGTGGAAGGGAGGGCTGCAGGTGGGACAAATCCATTTGTACCCCTGGGCTGGAGGAGTTGTGACCAGAAAAGCTGCTGTGCCAGAGGCTGTGCTGGGACAGAACTCCAGGTTCTGGTGGAGGATGAGCCTGTTTCCCACAGCCCTGTTCCCCTCTCAGCCCTGTCTCTGCAGCGCTCTTGGTAGTTCAGATTTTTGGAAGTGTCTGCAGGCAGGGCTGCCCTGCCTTGGGTGAGCAGGACAACGTGCAGATGGAGCATGTGGGGAGTGGGAAGCAAACAGGAGAAGGGCTGATGAATCCTCAGGGTCTGCAGAGCCTGAGGGCTCGTGGCCACACGGGGCTTGGTGTGTCCTGTCCCACAGGGGATAGTTCCTCAGGGCTGGTGTGTCCTGTCCCACAGGGGATGTTCCTCAGGGCTGGTGTGTCCTGTCCCACAGGGGATGTTCCTCAGGGCTGGCGTGTCCTGTCCCACAGGGAATGTTCCTCAGGGTTGGTGTGTCCTGTCCCACAGGGGATGGTTCTCAGCTCTCTCCCCTCTGCCCCACAGTGCGACAACTGCGGGATCGAACCCATCCAGGGGGTGCGGTGGCACTGCCAGGACTGCCCCCAGGAGATGTCCTTGGATTTCTGTGATTCCTGTTCTGACTGGTGAGCAGCTTCTGCTTGTTGTTGGTCAGGGGATCAGAGCTCCCTGCTTGTGTCATTGCTGTGTGCTGGAAATCTTGGCTCCAGCACGGGACACACATCCTGGCTGGGTGAAAGGGAGGATACTTCAGCAAGTGTTTGTGGGGAGAGAGATTTTTAACAAGTTCCGGGTGTATAATTTATTTTTTAATAAGATAGGTTTGGTACTGTTGAACAGAGGGGGGAATTACACTTTCTGAATGAACTGGTACCCAGCTGGGTATGGATCAGTTCATGTGATGGCTGTTTCTGAAAGTTAAGGGAAATAATCTGACTTTTAAACTGTTATCTTTCTCTTTCCCTTGCAGTCTGCATGAAACAGAGATTCATAAGGAAGATCACCAGTTAGAACCTATTTACAGAGCAGAGACATTTTTAGACAGAGACTACTGCATGTCCCAGGGCACCAGTTACAATTATCTTGACCCAAACTACTTTCCAGCAAATAGATGACATGGGAAGCAGATCTCCCACCTTGGGTTTCCTGTCCTCTTGGCAAAATAACAATGGCACCATTGTTAACTCTGTGCACATTTTGGAAAGACTCTGCTTTCCCTGAAATGTCACTCACAGCGTGACAGCTTCCTGGGTGCACTTGTGCAACTGCAGCTCGGGGCTGTCATGGCTCTGTAGATCACTGAACAGCAGCTGAACATTCCTGGTGTGCAGGAGGTTTCACTGGGAGGCTTTTCTCACCACGTCAGACACTTTTTAGGGGGTGGTGAATCTGAGCAAAAAGAGAAAAACATTCAAAAAGGGTGAGCCAGAACTGAGAGCACACGTTAAAGGCAGAGGAAAATTCCAAAGGCTTCGAAGAACTTGGTTAATAATGAGATCAGAGGAGATGAAGTATTTATATAAAACCAGTTTAGTAGCTTGCAGTTTTGTTGTGAAATAGTTTTCAGCACAGTAACTGACTTCTTTAGGCGAGGTTTTAACCAATGACAGTGTTTGCTTCTAGGCTGTACTCTAAAAATCCTCCCTGTCTGGGCGAGGGTTGGTTCCAGGCCTTTCTTCAGTCGGAGCTGCTTGATCATGTTCGACTTTCGATTTTTTTAATTTGTTTTTTTAAAACCACGATGAACTCTAATTTACCAACAGCGAAGCACTACAGGGGGCAACTGTGGCATTGCTTCCTTAACCAGCTCATGGTGTGTGAATGTTATAAAATTGTCACTCAGATATATTTTTTAAATGTAATGTTATATAAGATGATCATGTGATGTGTACAAAATATGGTGAAAAGTGCCAGTGCTAGTAACTGTGTAAAGTCTCTAATACTCGACATTAACTCCTTTAAAATAAAATACACAGCCTTCTGCCTCTGTATTTGGAGTTGTTAGTGCAACTCATCAAAGAAAAACTGCCTAATATAAATCATATATATGGTAATAATTTTTCCTCTTTTGTAGTCTGCACAAGATCCATGAAAGATTGTATTTTTATTACTATTTAAACAGTGATTAAATTTAGCCTGAGCAGTGAGCAAGGGTTCACATGCATTCTTTTATACTGCTGGATTTTGTTGTGCATCATTTAAAACATTTTGTATGTTCCTTCTTATCTGTGTATACAGTATGTTCTTAAATAATGTTCGATTGTCAGGAGAACTGTGAGAAATAAACTCTGTGGATCCAGTCTGTTTATACATAGAATGCTTGCCGTGACTTCCTTTCTGTGCAGTCCCTGATGAGGTGGCAGTCGCTGGCAGGAGCTGTCCCTGCCTCCTGCAGGTGCTCCCTGGGTGGGATCCCAGCCAGGACGAGCCTTTCCCACCTCCCAGACTCCTCCTTCAGCAGCCTTGGGGCCACGCTGGATCCCATGGTCTGAGCAGCTTTGTAATTCCTGGGACATATTTAATACATTTTTTATTGGGGTGGACAGCTTGTGAGTCGGGAACACCCGGATTGTTTTACAGCTGTGACTTCCAGTGGCTTTGGAAGTGGAACACTCAGAGCAATTAGGGAGGAAGCAGAGTGGTCTGACTTTAAAAGGTGGCAATAAGAAGGATAACTGGCTGGCTGCACCCAGCAGCTTTCATTACAAATGGCTCAGCACGAGGTTTTGCAGTAACTTCAGGTGTAGCTGTTTTCTGCTTCGGGAAAAGTCGTTTTTAGGCATTTAATCTCTTCAGAAGGTAATACAGTAGAGTTACTAAAACACTGAGCAAGTAGCATCTGTAAACATATCTCACTAGGCTTAGATAAATTTAATAAGCCCTAAAACAATACAACACAAAACCTGACAGGATGTTTTTTAAATTGAGATTGATACTGCTCTGAGAGACTCTCAAATACCACCCAAATGTGCTTTCCACACCATTCACAGTCTTTGCAGGAAACCAGAGCTGGTGAGGGTGTATTATCAGGGACAGAATCTGTGGGAATAACTCACTTTCTGTTGATACCCTGGAAAAATGACTGGAATAAAAGAATGAAAGTACATTAGAGGAGAAGAGTCATCAGTTCAGGGAAGCTTGGAGAGAACAAAACGTGGTGGTATCAGTGGGATGAGCTGGGGAGCAGGAGGATGGTGTCGAGTCTGAATCACCCAAGAAAGGAGTGTCTTGGATAAGTCCTCTTTTATTAACTATGTATAAATATTAATATATTCCCTCTGCATGCATATACAGCTCCTTCTCTTGCATATATATGCAAATAGGTATCTAATGCACATGCACCAAATCAAGCATGGCGTTTCTTTTGGTTATTTGTTTGTTTGTTTGTTTTCCCACAGGAAAAAAAAAAGAAGCAGAAATAAAAATTAAAGTGTATGTTAAATAATTTTTATCATTAGATTTTTAAACACCCCCTTCCCCTCCCAAAAAAAAAAGAACCAACCAACCAACCAACCAGCAGCTGCTGGTGCTCCCTGGGCTGCAGCTGGAGAAACACTTCCCAAAGCACCAGAGGGGAAGGGTGGGCTGTAGGAGGACCCAGGGAAGAAGGAAGAGCCAGGATGTGAAGGATCAGAGCACATGTAAAGCAGACCCTGAACAATCCCTGCACTGGCATTTCCAGGAAGAAAAGGAACCAAGGAGGTGCCCTGACTGCAGAAGGGACAGACTGTGTAAGCATGCTGAGCTGAGCTCTATTTTCAACTCATGTACTGTGCTTGGAAAAGGATTAAAACCCACATGTACTGTAACAGAAATCGTTCCTCCTCGTTTTTGCACGTGGTTTTATTTGTATTATGTCTTCATTACAAGAAAGGTTAACTTTAAAAATGCAAATCCGCTGCATAAAGTACAACCTGGACGGTACGAGCGATCATGCAACCCACTTGCACTGTGAGTTCATCCAGGAGTTCCAGGAAGAGGATGCAGTTACTTCACAGGAATGTCAAACAAGCTTTTGTGTAGCTGTCAGTAATACCAGAGAAACTCCACAATATTTTGGGTAACCCCAACAGAAATATTCGTGTGACTCTCACAGAGTGTTTTGCAGTTATTACAGATAAATGACTTACTAAGGATGCAAGCAACAGGAATCAAATAATCCCTGACATTTTCCTTTTTTTGTTGGTTTTTGCTGGTTTCCCACCCCACCAGACCCTCCCCACACACACACACACACACATCCCCCCCTCCCCAAATTTTGGCAATGGCAGTACAAGACAACAGATGGTGATGATGATGATGATGGTGTGAATTTTGCATTTGGAATCCTTCCCAGGTGCGATCTGAGGACGACGGGGTAGTTGTGGCTCACAGTCATCGTCACTGCAGGCTGGGACAGCCAGAGTGCAACTGCTGGGGCACTGCTGAGCACCCTGAGCTGTGCCACAGTCCCTGTGCTCTCCTCAGCTCACACAGCCTGCAGGACAGCTGTAAATTCCTGCAGCCCCCAGCAGAAGACAGGACTCTCTCAGAAATGGGGTGTGCACCACACTGATGGATTGACAGACTTCCACAATATCCAACTGTATCTTCAGTTAATCTTTCTCCTCGGTGCAATGGTGTTCTGGGGATGTGTGAGGAGTTTGACTTGTAGCTGAACTAATTCCAGCTGTCCTACAGCTGCCTGTCACAGAGAACAGCCTTAGTGACACCACAAGTATCAAAAAACTGTTAATTAAACAATGTCTGATGGGAAACTTGTATGCAGTGCCCTTGACATGAGTATGCTGAGCAGAGCTGGGGGGGCTGGAGAGCTCCCTGCTGGCCAAGCACTGCCTCATTTCCCATCCAAGGCAGGAGATGAAACACAAAGCAGAGCTGCTGTTCCATTCACCTGCCTGCTCTGAGCCCCTGGAGAGCAAAGAGCCGAGGAAACAACCTGCACACGGAGCACTTCCCACTGTCAGAACAGAGAACAGACATTTCATCTACAAGGACACACCACATGCACAAATCCCAGACACCTCTCAAGACAGCAGGGCTGCTTCCACCAGCAGTGCACTCGTGGCTGTGGGTGAGGCTGAGTACACATCAGTGACACACCAGTGCACACCAGAACACACCAGTGCACACCAGTGCACACCAGAACACACCAGTGCACACCAGGGCACACCAGGGCACACCAGTGCACTCCAGTGCACACATCAGGACACACCAGTGCACACCAGAGCACACCATCACTGCGCTTCTGTTGAAAATGCTGCCTCTTCCCTACTCAGCAGAGAGTCAATTGTCTTGCAGATTTCCAGAAAAACGTCCTCCTGTGTTCCTTCCGCATCAACCTGTGAGGCAGGGAAAAAAAAAACATTAGTTTTGATCAAGTCACCAGGAATTCTCTCAGAATCTGAGCACTGACACAACACGCTGAGCCAATGTAAAGTGAAGGTTACTCTGTTTTGTGTTAAAAGCATCCTGATGTAGAGGAGCAGCTTCCACAACCCACGTTATTCACTTTATTTGCACAGATTTCTGTAAGAAGGTCCCGTGGGCTCCATCATCTGTGGCAGAGTACATTAATCAAATGGAGGAGCTTAAGCTCTTTCTCTTAAATATTCGGGTTTGAAAGCAAAATTACACCTCTGGGATACAGAACACTTTCCAAAGGCCCCGCTCCAAAAATTCAGTTTTCTGTTCAAGTTGCCTGTCAGGGCTGTGCTTCACCAAAAAAAGACCAATTAACTTTGCCCTGCTGAGGAAGAGGAGCTGCATTTCAGCCCAGAGCACTGATGTTTGCAGCCAGGAGTAGCTGGGGGGGTGCCCTGCAGCACGTGGGGCAGCCCTGAGCTGATGTGGGCGATGAGTTTTGTGTCCATGCCACGCACTGGACACCTTCAGTCCTCTGATCTTGCCCTTCAGACACCTCCCAGGTGCCGATGGCAGCGAGGCAGGAGCAGCCTTGTCTTGCCTGACTACAACACATTGCTCTGTTCCTTGTTACCCTCCTACAGACTGTCACTGGGAAAGGGCTTTTAAAGATGAGTCAGATATTAAAAACAATCATTTTCCCCCTCCCTTTCTTCTCGGCTGACAGAAGGCCAGGTGTTCAGAGGGATTTACATTTAGCCACGTCAAAACACGAGGAGGTGTCCACTAAATTTTCACTTGGAAATCCCTGAGAAGTAAATTGAACAATAACAGCATCTACCTGCTTATTTCAGCTACCACAGTGCATTTCATGTCACTGATCTGAAACATCTGATTGCCACAGGCTCAGGCAGATTGCAGAGGGTGTTTTTGTGAGCGGTGCTTTCAGCCCTTGCATGTCCAGTGCGAGGTGTTTATTGAAAAGCAAATATTGAAAGTTTATTGAAAAGCTGCCCTTAGCAGCAGGTGGGGGTTCTGGAACTGACTGTGAAAAAAAATTACGGAGTATTAAACTAAATCCCCAAAACATGATTTAAAAAAAAAAAATTAATTGAAAATTTTCTAACTTATTCTTCACAACTACCTTCCCTTCCAGAAGGGCAAAGCAGGAGCTGGGTGCTACAGTCAAGCCCTACAAGCCACGAGCACTTGTACAATTAAACACTATTTCACCTCCAATTTACTGGTGCTCAGTCACACCCTGCAGTGAGCTGGCTAGAAAAGGTTAATGCTGAGTCTTTGTGGCAGTTAAGAGGGATTTAAACTCTAATAGTCTTGAGATCTCACCATCCACTCCCTCAGTCTTCTGTGCATGTATATGATATTACAAATAACAAAAAAACAAGGATTATTTTAGCCTAGTCTTCACCAAAAAAATATGAGTGCAGTCCTAATTTATATCTGATATTCTTGCTCAGAAGTTATCATTGTCAGTTTTTGTGCCTTCCACCTGAATTTCTCTTCACCACTCAGAGAACATCGGAGTGGCTGCTCATGTCAATGCTTGGCCATCTGGAAAATCTGTTGCTATAAATAAGAAACCAACCCTGTGTCCTGGGAATTGCAAACTTCCCTCTCTCCTTTCTTCAGCTTAACATACCCACCCCTAATCTTAACTGTGCTTATCTGTCTTTATTTTCCAAATTGCTGTATAGGTTTGTAAGATGCTCATTTACAGGATTTAATAACAGAGGTTGGAAAGAACCACAGTGGGTCCTGCTCAGAGCAGGACTGGGCACTGCAGGGACATCACTGTGCCAGCTGCAGTTTGAGATGACAAAGCCAGCCTGCCTAATTAAACTTCCAAAGCAAGAATTCCTTCCAGAAAAAAAAAAATTATTTTGTTTCACAATATTTAGTGTGTTTCCAAACTGGAATGTTTTGGTGGGGTTTTTGTTTGTTTGGTTGTTTTTTTTTTTGGTTGGTTGTTTGCATTTTTGTTTTTTCCTTACTGTGGGGTGAGCAAAGGACACAAATCAGGACTCTGAGTTCCATTTCTCTCAGCTCTGTATTATTTGCTCTGTTCTCAGGTCAGGATAGGGCTGCATAAATTAGGATAAATTAGCTGCACGTTTCTCTTTTGGGAACTCTGCAGAGGAGAAAAAAGTTTGGGGTATTTTTTTTTTCTCCTGAAAAAAAGATGCCATAAAACATCCAGAAATTACTATTGGATTCTTTCCTTTTTAGGAAAAGACAGAACAGCAGGACTAAATCTTTCTGTAGCTGAACATAAGGGATAGTTTGCCATGACAGAGCAGAGAAATAAAGAAAAAAAAACCCCAAACATCCCTTTTAAGGCTACAGATGTGCTAGCACATACATCAGCTAAGGGCACTGATGGAATTTTTCTTGCTTCACTGTAAAGTATTGATTAGAAAATAATAATAATAAAAGCTTTAAATATCACATCCTGAGCAGGTGCAAACTGAGGTAATTCACTGAAATTATTATGTTATTTATTCCAGCAAAAAGGTCTTTCTTGTATGCAGGCCTGTTTTATTTCAGGATATGCACTGTCAGAGTTGTAAATTTAACTAAAGGACTTTGGATTCAACATCATCTTTCATCCTAATTCTGAGAGCCCTTACAAAGAAATAAATCCTAATACTTAAAGAAAAGCTTTCCAGAATTAGTGTTTAGTAAGAGGTTCTGTACAGATGAGTTGGTGACTCAGGCCATGCTCCCAGATTAAGCACAAATGTGTGATTTTGCCCTCTCAAACCGTGCTGTGGAACTCAGAAGTTCGGAGAAGCTGCAAACAAAGCAGGGGAGAGTAAAACAAGACCGGATCTTCCAAACACTCCAAATAACGGAGGCAAAAAGCGGTGATTTGATGAGAAAGGTGAAGCAATTTACCTTGCATAACTGTGCCTTGCTCTCATAGTATGCGATCAGAGGCCGTGATGCTCGGCAGTAGCTCTGGATCCCTTCCTGGATGGCCTGGGCACTGCTGGAGCTGGGACTGCTCTGATCCCTCATCTGCAGGCGACTGCTCATGGTGTGTGCACTGCAGTCCAGGCACAGCACCAGCCTTGGCTCCCCAACCTGGGCACAAAGCAGAACAGTGAGGATCCAAACCACTGGCCCGGGGAAATCAGCTTGATCTGGGTCATACTGGAAGAGTCATCACGGAATTCATCAGCACTTGGTATTTGAGTGAGCAGGAGTCACTTGCAGTGGAGATGGGTGACCACTGACAGGCTCAGAACACCATCAGGTGTTCACAGGGATACACTCTGGGAATTGTTTTATGTCACACAGTACTTTATGTCTTTATCTGCAGTGTACCCACATTATCACCACCCATGGCATAAAGGAAGGCAGTGATTTATTTCTCTGCACTTTCAATTTGGCAAGAGATTCCCAGATTCCATGAGAAGCCCACCCTTTAGTGCTGTTTGGTTAGTGCCAAACTAGTCAGGAGGGAGAGTCTGTCCTTTTCTGTAGAGAAAATAAATACAGATTTCTTTCTTTTTATTCTCAGGCCTGGCAGAGACAGTTAATAATTGTCTCTCTCTCTCTCTCTCCATTTGATCGTAGATACCACAGAATTTACGGGTGAAAAAGAACTGGCAAGGAAGAGCAACATGTTCTTTACAATATTTCAGGAGAGAGCCAGAAGTTCTAAATAAATCCTCCTTTTTTTTTCAGTGTATCCTTTCCCTGATGCACTGCAAAATCTGCATGTCATTGAGCATAAATCTTGCCATCCACTGACACCAGGTCTGCTCTGAGCAACAACTGCTGGGCCAAGTCCAGAGGGATTAAAAGCCACTCTACCCAGTAAAATATAGGTGTTACAGGGCCAGTGAAAAACAATGGGATCGTTTTTCCATGCAGTTATCTGTTAAAGACACTCTCAAGTCTTTTTCTCAGTCCTCCCCTTGGCAGAACACCCTTCAGGAAAAAGTGGGAAGTCTTGGAAAAAGGCCACTGTTGCTCCCACCAGTGACCATTATATATACATAATACTATCTATAAACATTATATATGCACATAAAAATGATATTGTTAGCACTGCTGCAGCAAAGGAAGTCTAAATGGCTGCTATATGGAAGTTGCTGTTGTCACCTTTGTTGACAGCCCTCAAAGGAGGAAATAATCCAAAGGTAAATATTTCATGCCAGGCCTCCTGCCTTGGGCTGAGGATGTCTGGGTTGTGTTGACCTTTCCACGACCTCAGTGGCTTTCTAAGAGAAGCTGAAGCCAAGGGATTGTGCTGGACAGCTCAATAGCAGACTTCTATCTGCCCATTTTTTCTATTAGCAGTGGCAGCATTGGGTTTGGGGATTAAAAAAAGCCAACAAGGGAAGTTTTAATAGTGCAAGAGGCATAGACAAGTTAAAAGAGATGTGGCTTCATCAGTGATTTAAATAAATGCTCTTTTTGTGTAATGGATAGTGAGAAGTTATTTCCTCCACAGTTTCACGTGAGGAATTCCATGGCCTGTTCTAAATTATAACAAAACAAATGGGAAATGATTCATTTTCCCAGTCAGTCACATCATCACCTTGCAGTGAGGAATACCCTGACTGATAGGATCAGGTAAGTGTATCTTGCTTGATAGACAGGCTCTGATTTGAAAAATCTATGTGGTTTTCTCAAAATTTTCAATATGGCTTTTATCTGGAATTCAAACCATTACAGAAATGTCACTCTTCCAAGTTAAAAATTACAAAAAGTGGGAGTAGTGCCCTGGTCAGATATTACAGCAATTTTTACTACCGCTGGTTTTTGTTTTGTTTTTTTTTTTTTATTACTATTTTCCCACCACGATTTAGCTGAAATAAGACACGCTGTGGGGACATCTGCAGGAAGCCAAACAATCCTGTCTACACTGGGTACTTTCCACCTGCTGATATGGAACTTATAATTTAATTGTTTTCTACTTCTCACCTAGCAGAAAGACTGAGGAGGGAACAGGGAGATGTTGCTTCTCTAGAATTATGGCTGGGTAAAAAATACAGCTGTATCACAGAGAGGAACTGGGCAAAAGTGGCTGAAGAATCAGCTGTTTGTACACAGCTCACCAGTCAAAGCTACCAAACTTTGAAGCATAAGCACTGTTCTCGATGTCTTCTAAACAGAACAGCTCTTTGTTAATAATTATAACGCTTTTTATGATCATATGCAGCATTATTCACCTGTACTTTGCTGCCATTAATTAATAAAGCCTGATGTGCACCTCTTTTCATCAGGAAGAAGTGCAGAGCATTATCCCAGCAATGACTCACTTAAAAAAACAAAACTTCACAGTTTTACTGAGCAGCTTTCAGCCTGCCAGGTCCACCCTGAGAAAAAGGGATACAGGAACAACAGGGGTGCCTTGGCACGTTCAGAATGACCACCTGAGCTCCTTGAATTGTGTTTTAGTGTAAATGTCAAAGGCAGATCAGGACTGCAGGATCTGAAAGGGGCTCTGCTTCTGCACTGGGCTTATTGCCTGGCAATGCCTCAGGCCAGGACACTGCACCCTCTAAATCATAACACAGAGCAGAGTTCACAGGACATGACATGCGTGCCTGCCAGACACAGAGCACTGCTGAAACTGTTCCTCCTTATACACAAAATGTAAGAAATTTCCAATGTTTTTTTTAATGATCCACAGCATTTTAGCAGAGGAACCAGATCAACATTTTGGTGAATGGCTTCTACAGCAAATCCCATCGCCCACTGTTTTGTCCAGCTTTTGATGCCTGTGCCTTGCTAGGCTTTTGTGGTAAACAACTAAATAGAGCAGCTAAAGCTTCAGGGAGAAAACAGGTGATTCACTGAGCTTTTATGACCCTTCACACTTATTTAGGACATTTGTGGGGCGTAATATGGTGGAATATACATCTAACTGATTTCCCTGCTTCACCACTTCTCCCAAACCCTGGCAAATTCATTCACAGGGCTTACAGGGAGTGCTTTCTGCAGGCTGAGAAAAGCATGGCTGAGCCTTCTCAGTGGGTCTTAGCACATCCCCAGGAGATCGATAGCTCTCTGGAGTGCCACGCAGCCACCTGCAGAACGCTCTTTTTATGGCTCTGCCACCTGCTCCTCACCACAGAAATGGAATCTGGGGTTTGCTGTTTCGAGTGGCAGCAAAGCTTTGGCAGGGCTGGCTCACTGGGAAGAAATATTCCCTGGGAAGGTGCGTGCTTTCACGAGCCTGCAGCAAATTGTGGTTGAGGAGATTTTCGTAATAAGTACGGTGCCATCCACTAGAAGCAGAAAATTGAGTCTGAAACGGGAATTGTTCCTGGTTTGCATTAAATTTGCTGCTGGACTGGCTCTTCTCACGTCCCTGCTGCAATCAGCTGAAGGTGGGGACCCAAGCAGCCCCAGAAGTAGAGCTGTGTCTTAACAGGAGTTCTAACAGCATGGCAATTCTAGGCTCACCTTGCTCTCAAACTCTTCTGCATCTCTCAGCTCCTGGGGGTACCCGTCGATCAGGAATCCTTTGGTGTCCCCTAGCCTGGAAACCATGGCTTCCTTCAGCAGCTCCAGGACAATGCCCTGCACAGGAAAGAAAGGGGGTTATTTGGTTAATTGATGACAAAGATTGATACCTCTGTTTGTTACACTGACTCTCGTGCTACCCCCTTGAAAATGGCCCTGCTTGGCTAAAAGTCAGCCCTGTGAATGCAGGGTGTTTTCCTGTGTTGCAGGTAGCAGGGTACCCTACTTTTTCTTCTCTCAGGGCCAGCTATGCCACACAAATCTAGTGCTGCAACCCACCCAGGAGTTCCCAAGTGCCCTCTAGGTACCTGAAAATGCTGCAGCATTTCCCAATCTGACTGCATTTTGCTATGTCAGTGATATAATTACATTGCATGGAAAGTGACCCCATCTGACCAAACACACTGAAGAGCAAAGCAATCAAAATCAAGCCTGAGCACAGCTTTTTAGTTTCCCCTGAGCAGCACTTCCCAGTATCTTTCATTAACAAACATCCTCCAATCCAGCTGCACTTGCTGATGACCCACCAAGAGCTGGGGCTGCAGAACTGCCACGTAAAAGTCAAGTCCGGCTCAGAACAACACCCTTTACAGCCTCCCTTAATCTGCAGTCCAGCCACTCCGGGATGTCAGCCAGCCCTGCAGGGAACTGCTGCAGGTACTGTGATTTAGAAGAGCTGCCAGGAGGACCAGCTCTGAATCTGAAATGCACAGCTATAAAAAGGACTGTTTCCTGTACTTACATTTTGCAATGCGTCTGTCTCACTGTACTTCGTGTCTAACTTACTGCCTAGATGAGTCTGAAATGTAAAGAAATATTGGCACTGAAAGGGGAAACAAGTGCCCCAGATTTGGTAATGAGGAAACTTCTACCTCGGGTTACAGATCAGTTTTACTGAAATGGGAATCATCGGCTCCAGTATCTTATTTCCACCTTTTCAGACAATCTACCTACCACTGCCTTTGTTTGACCATCAGGGCCCCAAATAAAAACTGCTGCTTACACCAGGCACAGGTTCACCACATTCCATGATGTCTTTGATCAATTTACTTCTCTCCGATAACGACAACAACTCATTCTGGAGAAGGTCAGCGGTGCACAGGTGAGAAAATCCGTATTTCCTGGCTAGCTGTTCACACTGGCTGCCTTTGCCAGAGCCGGGCCCGCCTTTGTGAGGGATAAAAAAATATCTGGATTAGAAGAGAATAAATAAAAGAATAACAGCATTAGCATGTTAGCCCTCCCTGCCCAGAGCCAAACAGGCAGAGGGACCGTGGGCACCTCGGCAACGGGACACGCAGGTGAAGCTGCTCAGGGGATTCTCCACAGGTGAGGGAGGGAAGGCGCCTGCACCTGTGCTCGCCTCACAGTGAGGGACAGTGACCCAGGGAACACTGGGGGTGTCCTCCTGGCACGAATGGTGCCTCAAGCCTCCCAGTTCCTTGGACAGGAGAGCGGCCACCACCCTAAAGCCCCAAAGCCCTGCCTGTGTGGGGCTGCTCTGGGCACCTCATGGCTCGCCCCCCGCCTTCGCCTCAGCGCTGCTCCCTCCTCTCCCCGGCGCCCAAGGGCGTGAGAAGACAAAGGCGTTCTCAGCCGCCTCCTGAGGTGCTGCAGCCACCCCAACCCAGCTGGAGAGATGGAGAGTCCATGGGAACTGCTGGAAGCCTCTTGCCAGGGATGCTGCTGGCGTGGCGGTGAGCCCAGAGCCGGCGCTGGAGCCGAGGTGAGGCCCTGAGGGCTGAGGGGCCATGATGGCGCCGGGCTGTGGGGGCGGGAAAGCCAAGCGCCGATTTTGGGAGTTTGTGGAGAAAATCCACCGTGTGTGGTGGCAATTTTGCAGTCTCTGACAGATCTGTTCAGAAGATCTCCTGCAGCAGGAGGTAATTATACCCTTGTAGGGAGGCAGTGCTCAAGCTCTTAAAGTTTTATTCAGCGTGTGAGTTGTGTATTTGTCAACTGCAGGGACTGCAAGTGTAACTACACAGCCCTGCCATGTGCAAGGAAGATGCTACAAAATACATGATTTTCCTGTTTGCTTATCTTTCCACAAATAACACGGTCACAATAGAGTGAGTTTTCTTCTTAGCTTTGGCATTCCATGTAAGAAATAATTGCTCCGAGCAGGTGATTTTCAGGGGAGTTACGGCCCTGTAGCCGAGATTAAAAACGGGGTCACGAGGCAGCGGCATCAAAGGAAGGGGCTTGTCTTGCTGTGATCTGCAGCCTTTTACTTCAGCTTCACAACGACAATTATCAGCCCCTGGTGTGAGAATCGCACCTGTGCTGCAATTTTGGCTAGAACCATCTTTGTCCACGGGCTCGTCTTCTCGCCAACGTGGGCTGCGTTCTGTTCTTCCACCGCTTTGATGTGAAGAACGTCGCGGTTTTGTAAAAGCACCGGTCGGAAGAAAAAAAGGGGAAAAAATAGGAGTGGCCACAAAGAAACAGATGTAGAGAAATTACAGGCGAATTAGCTGTGATGAGTCCATGAAGTGTCTGAGCAGCAATTCATTGTATTCCTGGTTCTGTTTTGGTTTTTCAGATCAGTGAGTTTGTGCGTGCATGTTTACACATTCTGTCTCCTGGCACTGAATGTGCTGGCAGTGCAGTGATTTAATCCTATTTATTTGGTATATATATCTACAGTATTTAAAAAAGCACCAGCTATAAAGGTTATTTTACTCTGTTTCTTATATAACTGTTTCTCTTCTGAATGTAGAGCCAAACCAGAAATGTCGTAGTTTCCCTTCATATACTACACAAACTAGAGGTCTTTTTAGAAATAACAATATAATTTTTGGTTGTTTAGTAGGTAATATTCAGAAAAATTAATGTGTTTCGAACACCCTTGTCTGTTAGTGTTTTAAAAGAGAACACTGTCAGAATGACACCATACATGTACATACACCAATGGGTGCACCCCAAACAATTTATTAAAAGTGACCATGTTTGCTTTTCTAGGAGGGTTCCAACAAAGCAGAAATTAAAATGCTGAGCTCTTTAAAGAGGAAAAGACATAATTAAATATGTTACGTGCTGAAAACGCTAATTTGTATAGCCACTGCTAATAATTTAGACTCATTTGACGAGTAACAAAGCATTCTACTGCTTAACAACCGTATGTGACCCTCTTTACCAAGCCTTGTGCTTTCTGATCAGTGAATGAGGCTGCACTTCTTGCTTGGCCTGAGCTGAGGGGAGGGCTGAGCACACACTTGGCCTCTACAACAATTTACACGTCTGAAATTAAAGTGTTATTTAATGTCCTGTCGCCCTCTGAAGTATCTCATGTGACTGAAGGTGGGGAAGAACATAAAAGTGTGTTTTCTTACTGATCAGATGCTTCCTTCTGGCTCAGGGTATATCCTTACACAAGCAGCTTTAACAGCAAATTAACCCTGAAGCAATGAAGCTCACCATCAATTTGCAGTGTTGCAAAAATTGTTCTTTTAGAGGGTATTATTATTAAATCTATGCCTTTTTCTGAAGAAAAATAGTGAAAATTTACTTGAAGAAAGTTTATTTGGAACGAAGTTTATTTGTTTATGCCTGTGAAGCAGAAACAAAAGCCGGCAAAAGGATTGTTTTCGGTTAAGAAGGCTCCACTGCAACTCAGAGCAGCTTTCCCTTCCACTCTGTTGATTCATCTGCCTGTGCGAGGGGATCTCCTGGTAAATAACTTTCTGGCAGCACTGCTGACTTAGGTGCTTACTTTTCCCTGTTTAATTATGGCTTCGGAAAGGCTTCAAGGAGAAACAAGGAGTGTTCTCGGTGGGCTGGGGACGTGACAGCTGTCCCAGCAGCACTTGGGAATATTTCACTGAGCCAGCCTCAGATCAGCAAAGGATCTCAGCCCTCCCTCCTGCCCCAGCCTCCCCCAGCCTGAGAAGGACCAGAAGCCCGGGCAGGTCACTCAAATGCACCGCCCTGACTCACAACCCAAAGAATTAACGAAGACAGAGGGAGCTGGGGCTGCTGCTGTGAGTGAGCAGGCACAGCAACAAGCAATATGAGCAGTTCCAGAGCCAGCTTCGCTCTCAGAAATGGTAATCAGGCAAAAGTGCCACCCAGGCAGACTGAGACGGCTCTATTTTAAACCTTACGAGTTTATCACACACCAAAATATCACGAACATTTACATAAGGTGCCAGCAGTGGGATTTACAAGAGAGTCCCACCATTCATTTCCAAATGTTTCAATTCCTAGACCTTGTTATCACAATGAGTATCATCCCTCTGTCATGGGAAAAGTGCCTGCAGGGGAAACCTGCAACAGTGGAGCCTCAGAAGTCAGACCTGGAACCAAAATAACCCCAGTCAATCTGTCCTTACATTCAAGCTAGGATTTTGGAGGGCTTGTTCAGTTTGGCAATTTGTATTATTTATACAAGCAAAAATAAGCCCTAACTTCAGAATATGGCATTTGAAGGCTCCTCAATGGCTCTTCAACAATAAAAAACCCTCAACACTGGTTTTGGTGTTTGGTTTTTTTTCTGAAAGATGATTTTAATCAGAAAATGACCTGGAGTGATGTGAGGTCCTGGGACATCACTGAGTTTTCATTTTTTTAAAGAAAACGTGAAGTTCATTTCATGGGAAGTGTGGAAATCAGCATTCCTCAGCTTCTACACTCAGTGCTTGGGCTGATGGGGGTTAATTATCAGTACTGCTCATCCTGTGCCTTCTGAAATGCAGTTACTGTAGCACAGTTTAGGTTGCCAGGGACCTTATCAGGTTAAACCTACTCAAACAGGGCTAAATGATATGATAAAGGAATGATAAATTGAATTAGATCAGGTCATTCAAGGTCTGACACACACTGGACAAATAAAGAGTTTGGGTTTTGTTATTTATTTACTTCTGGTGTGTGTACAAGATACATAAATTTTGAGTATTACAGCATTTATTTTTACACCTGTGTGGGGTTTTTTTTGTGCTCTGGAATTTTATTTTACAGGTCAAATTTACCTTGGCTTTGCCTCTTTTATTATCCTGCTCTTATCTCCTGTATTTTTTGACTTGCTGGTTCAATATCTCTGCTTTACTCTGTTTTTGTTCCTTAATTAATCCAACTTCACTGTTATTCCAATTAATTCCTACATTAGCCCTAATGTAAATCTTTGCTAATTAGATTATTTCTTTCCCTTTTGGACAATTTTCAAGGGTAAACAGTGGGGGAGGAAGGAGTTTTTTTCCCCTTTATCTTCCAAACAGTATCTTAGTTTGTCCCTGAGCACTTGAGAATTTGGGGGGCTTGTCTTTCTACCTCTCCCCCCACCCCCAATTTTGTGATGCTCCTGTGAGGTTTCTTCAGAGGTTTCTTTAATTCCTGTGTACAATTGACAGCCATCAGACTTCAGCTCCTAACTGACAGTCATTTATTATTAACTTGATAGTGTGGGGGTTTTTTAATTAGGAAAAAGAATTCACACATTGACTTACTCTTATGTACAATCCCCCACGTTCTGGCATCCATCTTTATGACCTTGGAAATATGTTGTTCCTGCTCTGCATTTGTAAACTGAATTTGTAATCTGAAAACTGCTCGGTACTCATAATCAAAGCTCAATGACACTGGGATTGTGGCAGTTAAATTAGGAATCCTACTTACCAACAACAAAAATGATGTTTGATTTCCTCAGGTCTTCTGAAAAGTCTAAAATGAAAATAAAAATTCTTTAGTTGGCAAGACCCACTGGTTTTTATGTCAACTACTTACCACACCAAATTGTCACACTCATGCAAGGGGATGTGATTTGATTTACATTTACCTTCTGCTGGAATGCTCTGCATCCCAAAAGGAGCTATTATCCACAAGCCTATTAATCCCCCAGTTTCATAATTCTCACTGCAGATATGATAAAGACATTTTACCTGAAAACTCGACCTTGCACACACACATCTTGATTTACTTCACCTTCCAAGTAACCATTTAAATACCAGGGGGAATCAAAGGTGTCAAAATTAAATGGCAATTAACACTGAAAAAAGAGACTCACCTCCTGTGCTCTCATAACCAGAAAAACTTGATTGATCCTCCTCCTGTTAATTAAGCAATTGACAAATTGAAATGGATATTCTGCACAGTTTGCATTTCTTCTTCTATCTGCTTATCTGTAGATCTCAACAGCTCTCTCACCAAGGGAGGTGGTTCTGCCCTCTACTCTGCCCTCAGGAAACCCCCCCTGGAGTGTGGGATCCAGCTCTGGGAGCCCCAGCACGAGGGGACAGGGACCTGCTGGGAGAGTCCAGAGGAGCCCACCAAGATGCTCAGAGGGCTGGAGAACCTCTCCTAGGAGGACAGGCTGGGAGAGCTGGGATCCTTCAGCCTGGAGAAGGCTCTGGGGAGACCTTGGAGCAGCATTCCAGTGCCTGAGAGGGGCTTGCAAGAGAGCGGGAGAAGGAATTTTTCCAAGTGCCAGGACGAGGGGAAATGGCTTTGAACTGAAAGACAGCAGGTTTAGAGTAGATCTTAGGAAGAAATCCTTCTCTGTGGGAGTGGAGAGGCACTGGAACAAATTGCCAGGGAAGTTTTGGATGCTCCATCCCTCAAAGTGTTCAAGGCCAGGTGGGACAATGAGCAACCTGGTCTAGTAGAAAGTGTCCCTGCCCAAAGCAGGGGGGTTGGAACAAAATGATCTTTAAGGTCCCTTCCAAACCAGGCCATTCTATGAGTTCTAATATCGGTTCTGTGAGGACCAACTTCTCAGTGTCCAAAGGAAGGGATCCTGCACATCCTGCACAGTGCAATCAATGAGAAATCACAAATGCTGGCCAGCAGGACTGGTAGAGTGGGAATTCGTTGCTGTTCTCAGAGATGAGAGTTCCAGACACAGTTATTTGGGTTCTTTTTGTGACGTGGAATAGGAGAAAGTTCTCCCTTGTCACGTCATTATTGCTTGGATGCTACTGGAAAATAGTGGTGAAAAGTGCCTCAGTCATTTTATTCAGATTTTTCATAGGTGTAACAGGAATTCCTCCTAGAAATTTACTGAAGTGGATAAGTAATCATGGATAAAGGAGAAAAGAGGCAGTAGAGTGAGACTGACTTTAAAATAGAACACGATTATTGCCTAAAAGTATTCTCCATTTTCAAGTTCGAATTTAAGAATGTAAATATTCAAAGGAATGAGCCAGGCACGAATCATTTAAACAAATAAAAGTGACACTGTTTCTCTGCAGGTTTTCTGTGAGGGCAATGGACCCTGGGAAGAGATTTTTACCAGGAAATTTGATTTATGCTTCAAAATCACTTTTTGAGGCTGGTTGGTTTGGTTTTGGTTTGGTTTTTTTTGTGTGTGTGTGCGTGCATTTTGGTGTTTTCTGGTTTGTTTTTTTTTTTAACTTTAGAGAAGAAAGGTTTTTTGTCAGGCCTGTCTCAATTCAGTTTTCAAGAAGAAAAAAGATCTTGGACTAGAACAGGGTGTTGTAAAAATAAGACCAGCAGTGTGTGGCCCTCAGATCCTGTGAGCTGCTGCTATTCAGATAAAAACTGACTCTTCTACTCAAATTTTGCTGCTCAAAGACCTTCTCTGTTTAACGTTGGACAATGGATATTCAAGGTTTAATAGAACACTTATTTATGTATTATTAGGTAGTTTTATAACTTTCAATAAGAAACTTCTATAGTATTTATAAAGAACTTCTCTGTTAAGCAGGATTTTAATTATCTGAAGATAATTAGTCCACTGCTCTGAGATGGACTTGCTGTGAGGCAGTTCCAAAACTAGGCCACTTTTCACTCTTTTTTTGGGGTATTTTAGCCCAAAATGACTAACACTGACTGCACAATCACGGGATACACGAGGAGTGAAAAAAATAAAACCACATAGGAAACATATGGCTTTCTGAAAATACCCAGGGAATTTTTTTGAACTTCCAATGCACCCAGAGAGGCCACTCTTCTTGCTTCAATACAGCACAAAGAAGTGATTTTCAGAGCACTTTTGTATCCCACACAGTGAAACAGCAATCTTTGCAGTCACTGCAGGTTTATGTGTGAATGTAAAAATATACAGCAGGTACTTTAACAGCCATTAAGAAGCATAAGAGGAAAAAAAAAATGGTTTCTTCTGCAGTGCTTTAAAATATAGGAATTATGACTGCAAATGTTCCTGAGGAAGGGGTTTGGGAGCTGCCTTTAGGAATGTTGGGCTGATGTGAACAGGACCAGTCAAGTGAGATATCCAAATCACAGAGGCAGAGAGGGGAGGGTTGAAAACACACCTTTCATTTTGGAGCTTGTTCAGGATGCATTTTGTAACAGGCAAACCGTAGTACTTTGTTTCTAGAACTGATTTTTTTTTAAAAAGCATTTAATAGGATAGTTTCCATGGCAACTTGAACTGAACAGATTGTTCACTGACTTCAGTACATTTCTATTAAACATCTTTTCTCTGTAGTTAGGCCTCTCCAGCTCTTTCATGTCTTTGGGTGCTTATTCATTATCCCTTTTTTGCAGATATTCTCAGACTAGATTGAACTCCACCTTTCAGTGGTCTTTAATAAAAACAAATGTTGAGGGAACAGAGTTTCACAACCATCTGCTGAGTTTCCCCTCATTTTCTTTTCTGTCCCATGCTCCAGTTTTAATCAGTTCCTCAGTATAACCAGAACCTGTAATTCAAATTGTCCACCAGTGACAGAGGAATGGGCACTGCAGAAATGTCCAGCATTAAAAACCCCAAATGGCTTCTGGCTGCTCTTGGTCATTTTACCAACACCTGTAATGATCAATGAATAAAACTGCTGGTTGTCTAATTTTGAAAGGCATCTTCAGGAGGGGATGGAGCCTCTGCTGATGGAGGTGTTGTGTTGGGACACCAACCCCAGGGTTAAACAAATCACTTGCATCAAACCTTTCCAAGCAGAGGAAATGCAGCCAAAACAAAGTGACAACTGACAGGAAACACGGTAAATGGAGGGGAATGGTCTCTGGTTTAATCCACAGAGCTTTAGCTAAATGAGGCTTACAATTTGCTGCTGCCCATCAGTTGTATGAATATTTATGTTCTGCCTCTGCACTGGAAAGGCTCTCAGGACTTTCCCTGAATATTTAAGTTTCGAGCCCCGCTGATCAGCCAGGCCAGAGATCCTGTAAATAGTCTTGGTGGCACTGGAGTCTGCTTTGCCCCAGTTCCTCCTGCTCCCCTGCAGCCCAGATCCCTCCCTGCTTTGGATGGCACATCCCAGCCAGCTGGAAAAGGAACTGTCACTACATGGCAGAAACTTGTAATCAAGAGCTTGTTTTGCCTTCTTACAACGAGGGGAGGGCTCTTTCAGGGCTTTTTTCCTTCCTCCATTCTGGTTCTGCCCGTGAGTTTTTGCAGTGAGCTGTCACACCTTCTAATTATAAAGCATTCTGCACTTGCAGAAAAGATTGGGCTATGCTTTTAAATTCAATAGATTGCTTGTCAGTGCTGAACAGAAAACCTTTTATTAGCTTTCAGCCTTTTTTACACCTACTTTTCCTAGGTCTTTGACACGTTTGGGAGGCAAAAAACCCCAACAATCTCTTCTTTGCACTTGCTATTGCATTTACCTGATTTCATCAGTAAAAGCACTCTGACACTGCAAGGCCGTGGAAATGCCTCAGCTATGAACTGGCAAATTCCTTGAAGCCACAGAAATGTGTTTGCACATTTTGCAGATGTGAGGGTGGGCAGGCCCTGGCACAGCTTGCCCAGAGAGGTCGTGGCTGCCCCATCCCTGGAAGTGTCCAGGGTCAGGTTGGACCTGGCTCTGAGCAACCTGGGCTGGTGGAAGGTGTCCCTGCCCGTGGCACGAGGGTTGGAACAAAATGATCTTTATGGTCCCTTCCAACCCAAACCATTCCCTGTCCCAAATACCCAGAGGAGGCTAAATGTACTTACGAGTTTTTTTACTTGAAGTTTACCTGATTTGCACATTTCCTAAATTGTAAAGTTATCAATCCTGTAAGCACTTGTTCAGGAGTTTCTTCACTCTACAGTCACCTGACTGTGTGTTTTAACTTTTTCTCTAATTAGTCTAAACACTCCTCAGAGTAGCTAAGGTTGTCCTGAAAGGCTTCTTTTCATGAGAAAATAATTGGGATGCTCTTTTCTTCTGCAGCTCTTTGATAGGATTCACTCATGCCAATTTTTCAATACTCCCTTTTGGCCTGAGTGCACTTGAAATAAGCCAAATGGTAGGTTTCTAATTAAAAATCCAATTGTTAAAAATAAAACTTGTCTGATCTCTGGAAACAAGTGGCATTATATTGACAGCCTCTCTGGCAAAGTTGAGAGATTGAATGGCAAGTATAAAGGAACACAGTGAGCAGTAAAAAACTTTCATCACACTTGAGAGCATTCCAGCAGCAAAGCCAATTCTTATTAAATCAGACACTCGTCATGACAGCAAGCTCTGCAAACTGAGAATATTCTGTAAAGCTGTTGCCCTCAAAAATGAGTTGCCCAAAATATATTCCTGAAGTCTTCAAATTCCTTTTGTAACCCAGGATCTGACAGATATGAGAAAAAAAAACAAAACCACAACAGAAAAACAGTTATTGGTGATTTGGAGAAACAATTGTTTCTTTTTTTTTTTCTTTCAGTGGGTATTTCTCTCCTGCCTTTCAGTGCTGTAGGGACTCAGTGATTATGGGTGTTCTTGAAGCATTCATGCACAGCCAGTAGTAAACCCACAGCTTGCTCTTAATTTAGTTCCATGAACTGAATGGAACGTTCATTAATAAAATGCACAACACAAAGCTCAAGCTTTTTCGGAGCTGTTTTAAATTCCATCTCCCCTGCACAATCTTTGGGAAAAGGCAGGTCTTAGCCTGCACCAGTGTTGCTTTGCAGGCACCAAGTGTTTCTGGAAGCCCTTTGGTGTGTTCTGGAGCTCTCCTACACGAGCTGATGATCCATCCCCAGCTGGAACCACAGCATTCCTTCTCCTGTCCCTGCCTCCAGTCAGACATCACTCTGGAGAAGTGGTTGTGCATCTGAAGAACCCTGTCCCTCTGTTGGCTGCAGATCTTCCTGCCTCATTCCAAGCCTGAGGAAATGCAAAGGTATCTGTGTGTCCACTCCAGCTGTGCCAAGTGCCACCCTCTGCCAGCTGTGGCTTTGTCTGCAGGACACACTGTGGAACCCCCGACTCCTCCACTTCAGCGACCACCACCACGTTCTCCCAACCCCAACCCCAGCCCATTTTTAGCAGCTCAGCTGGGTAGGGTTGCTTAGGAACCAGCCTCCCTCTCCCCCACGCTCTCATGACAGATTTCCTGTGCAGTCACATCCCTGCATGACACATTTGTATCCAGACACGCGGTTTTTTCCGCTTGAGATTCTCCCGGTAAAGGTTGTTGATGCTTCCCACAATCGGTAAACAGCATGTGGTAAATCACTGGAGTATTAAATCACTGCCACGGTCAAAATGAGCTCGAGCTCTCAATGTGAGCGGTTCCTCACTCCTGAATTTAGTTATTGATCTTCCCTTCCAGAGAGTAATTCCTCATTTTGTTTTCCAGACTGGGCAGATGGATGGAATTATGTCTTTATGGTAATCTCCACTCTCTTCTTTGCTTCTGCATGCCACCCTTGCTTGCATAATTCCAAAATTTAGATGGTAAGGCCTCTTGGTTGCAATGGCTTTCCCCTGTATTTATTTTCATTATATTTGTACAAGGCAGCTCATATAAACTGGGTATAAAAGCAGAGCCAAACATCATTTAAATACACATTGTGCTTCATAGGCCTAAACCCTTCAATAAAAAGGCAGCACAGCCAAGATGAAGATGATGAGAAATTCAAGAGTATCCTGGGCAGAGAATGTTTTAAGAAGGGTTTAGGATAGAATGGGATTTAAAATGATTTTTCAAGACTGAAATAACTAAGCCAAAGAGAGCAGTAAAAGGGATCTATAAATTAAAAGAAATGAATAGGGCTAGAACATGTAACACGTTGCAGATGAAGATAAAAGTCTTGCACTGAAGACTGTGAAAGAAAACCAAGAACAATCCCACAACACTGAATGAAAATTCACTTTTGTGGGCCCTGATTTGGTCACTGGCTTTAGAAGGCCACAAGGAAGGGTTATCTTTTTGCAAACACCTTTTTTCCCCCCTCTCTACCCTTCTTTCTACAAGGCAAACACTTCCCAACATTTAGTTTTTAGATGAGCATTCAACAGGATCAGCAGAAAGGCTGCTTTCACTTTTGCTGGTTTTAATTCTTAAAAACCTTTTTTCCAAAGGGAAGAATGTTTGATTTGTTGTAGTTATATTTCACACCTTATATTTTCCTGCTGTTCTTTTTGAAAAATGTTTTACTTCCTCTTCTTAAAAATCCAGCAGACTTACAGTGCATTCTAGGAACTCTGCTTGCCACATGTGCCTTTGTGGAGGAAACTCAGCAAGTGATGGAAGACAGAGGCTCTTAATACCACAATAATATTCACCCTTTCTCCTAACCAGAAAGCAACCTCTGTGTACCATGAATTTACTTATATTGCACTTGAGAAGCCCTTTGTCTTATGCACCCTTAAATTCCCCCACCTTGTTCAGACAGATTGTACAGCACAGTACTCACAAGAACCAGAGAACTGTCTAGGGAGAGGCCACAATATACAGAAAATTACCTGGTCCTCGAAGTCAAATTCAGTATAAACAGCATCTCCAGAATCCATAATCAGACTGCAGTCGAGTTCATTTGGCCCTAAAATAGGAAAGAAAATCAGACTTCAGAAATGGCCTGGAAATGTTCACTTTACGTGATGGAACACTGTAATATTTCCAATTATCTGTACTTGTGCAAAAACTGATCCCAGGGAGCGCTCAGATGTGCCAGAGCACCCGGGGGGGATGGTGTTTCATTGACAAAGCCTTCAAAGCACCCGTAAGAGCTGCTACAAACCTTGAGAAGGAGGGGTTATGCTAACTGGTGAATTGTTTTAGCTGCGCTGCATATTTATTGGGCAGGGTGTTCTGCGTGCCACGACTTGTAAATGTTAAATTGCTACACTCAGGGGAGAATACAAAGCATGTTTGGGAGAGGGAAAGGAAATACTGCCTAATTGCTGATTAGCAGATAAGGGGATGGCATCACTGAGTGATGCTGGCAGGGGACCAGAGCTCTCCAGTCCGTTTCTATCCCATCCTAACCCTTCCTAAGGTGACTGTGTGGCTCTGCCCCTTCTCCTCATCACCTTCCTGTGGTAGGATCAGCCCTTCTCATGCAAGTGGGATGCCAAAATTCAGCTGTTGAGAAGCCTTGACCTGGCTGAGCTGGGTTGGGGTTTCAAGGTCATCTAAGGGGGTTCCCATTGCTAAACCAGAATCCTGGGCAGTAGGGAAGGAATGGTCCCCTGGGTCCTCCCCAATGTGCAGCCCCAAACCAAACACTGCACGTGTTCAACAAACATTAAAACATCAACAAGCACACGGCTATAGGAGTGTTATTTAAATAAAAAATGCTGTAAAGATACACAGAAACCTAAAAACTGCAACCAGCCAGGAGCCACAGATGAGTCCAATCACTGACTTCGTGTGGGGAGCAACACCAGGGGACGTGTAAGGTGTGTTTTGTTTCGTGCCCACCTGTCCCCAGCCAAACAAGATCACCCATGAGGTCAGGAAAACAACTCCCTGCCTCCTGGGCTGCAGGTGTCCCTTCCTGGTGTGATGTTCCTGCTGGCACTGAGGACAGAGAGTTTTAAATCTGTTGCTGACCTGGTGTTTTCTCCCCATTGGAGCTGTTTCTGTGGGTCTCTCTCTCTAACAAGCACCATCAGTAACAGATTTTGCAGCTCAGTTGGTGCCAGATACATTTCTGTGTTATCTGGGTTTGCCTTTAAAGTTTACAGAGTAATAATCTATGTAGATGGTGAATTAAATATCCCTAAGGGAGAGAACAGAGGAGAGGAACTGGGTGGCACGATGACCAAAGTGTAACTCCATAGAGAGGATGATTCTGCAATCTGCATCACAACTGCTGCCACATTAATCTTCAATTTAACTCTTTGGACTACGTGAGAGACACCAGGGAAAGACCTGCATCTACCATCTGCTGCTGCCTTTGGTTTGGTTCTCTCCAAACTCTCCAGTGCTCCTCTCTGCTTTATCAGATTGCTATAAAAAAATAAAATTACAGAAAGCAATTACCCTCCTGCTACCACACAGTGCCACATGTACACATGCAGCATTTACACATTGTGGCCTTTTGAAAATACCTAATACCTGTGCAACCAAACAGATTTCCAGCTGCTGAGAGAATCCTCATTTTTGGATTTATTTGACACAGCTGACATCTCGCTCTTAACACCGTGTCATTGTTGATAATATAATTTACTGAGCCTCAGTTGGCACCGGCACATCAATCACTTTGAAAGGCACTTGTGTGCACTTTATTAAAGGCACTTGATTAACTGTCACTTAACTACCAAGAGCAGTCCGTGTCCTTAGCTAGAAACATTAATATGAAATATGGAGCTGCAAACCTAAATGTAAAGGTCAGGCTGAGAATGAATCCTCATGCATAATGTATCTTAAGTGATAAAAGCCATAATGGTTATCCAATTTTAATGTGGTCAAGCACCCTCAGGTCGTTTTTCTTGCCCTAGGACGCCGGTGTCCTTGGGAAAACACACCTTCTTTTGGGGCTGTACTCAAGGAAAATTGAAAAGCTGTGTTTTTCTTCTTGGTTTAATGCAAACCCCATAACCAGCCATCACTGAGCAGTGCACAGAGCTCTGTTCCCTCTTCAAACTGCCTAAAGACAAAGCTGCCAGAAATGAATTAAAGTAAATGGCAGCTCCCAGGAGCAGATGAAGCCATTAGGGCACATGTGAGGGTACTTTGTGACATCCCTGGGGCACCAGGAGCAGTTTGCTTTGCTCCAGCTCAGCCTGCTCTGGGAGGGAGCACATTCTGCTGAGTTTGTGTCATGGGCTTGCCTTTCCAAATTATCTCAGGTTAACTCAGAGCCTTCCCGTGCTGCTATGAACCCACTGCAAGTGATCTCAGCAGCTTCATCAACTGCAAAAGGGGAAACTCAAGTTAAAAAAATAAAAAATTAAGGAAGTGCATAAAAGTTTTACTGCCACAGAGGAATAATTTGTGAGCACCTGATCTGCAAAGGTACTCCCAGGACTTAAAACATGCTTCCTTAATTGCATGAATAAAGTTAAGGCAAGGGGGACCTGGACATTGTCATGTGCCCTGTGTTCTCCCTAGGGAAAGGAGAGAGGATTTTATTAGGTACACTACTGCACAATTAAAAAATAAATCACTTGCAAGTTTTTATTAACCGAATAATCAGCTCTCCAGGGAGGTGCAGGCTGATGAAAAAAGAAAAAAGCAGATCAGCTACAATGCCCTCCCTTTTCTGTGCCATGCTTTGTATCTTCACACTGCAGGCTGGACTGCCCAGGTTGGGTCATGGAAAGCTGAGAGAGCTGGGCTGCTGCAGGCAGGTGTGTCATTGCTGCCACAGAATCCACCCCAAAGCCCAGGGGATCATGGCTGTAAATGCCTGTGGTCCCACAAAACACTCCAGTGTCCTGAGCCTGGTGCATGGCACTTCCTCTGCAAGTGTGTTCATCCTCAGCTTTTCATGAGTGCAAATGTCAAGCATTGCTTGTTCACAGCTCACTGAATTCATTTATACAGTGAGGCTAAACTGGACGGATCTAAATTCATCTGCAGCTGATTTACCTCCCCATCACGAGGCATCTCTGCCCCATCATGCGAGTTAATTGAGTCTCCTCCTCGGACCACTCGTGTTCTGGCCAATCAGCTCAGGCATTTCCCAGCCTTGCTTAAACCCCTTACTTATTTCCAACCCTGCCGGCAACTCCACTCAGTTCACTGGCTCAAAAACATCTCCACTCACATTTTAACAACTCCAGTATTTGCACTGGTCAACACTCACTTGTCATAAAAATAATCTGAGCCTACCCTGGGAAACACTCTGCTTCTCTCAATGGCATGGTAAACTCAATAAAATAAAATAAAAATGTCTTTTTATGGTATGGAACATGCTCTGAAGCAGACCCTGATAACCCAATTAACACCTGTAGCATGTAAGCACTTGGGCAAGACAAATGTTTAGGAGATAAGTTTCAAGTGGGATATTACAGAAATAATTTATTGAAGGACTGATCAGCATTGGAATGATTACACTTGAATTTTCCTCTCAGTAAGATGCTTCTAACACAAATTTCACTGCAACCTTCCCCTGTTGAGTTTCTTGACAGGTTGTTGCTCTTGGCAACAGCCTCAGCATGTTGTGGAAGGCAACAATGAGCAAAATGTATTTTAATCCATAAAAATGTCAGTTGTTTTCTTTCGGCATACATCGTCACAAAGTTGGGTACAACTGGATTTCGCAGGTATAACATGAGAATCAGACTGATGTGGGGGCTCAGAAATGTTAGAAATACTTTGTTTACAGAAGCTACCAGGAACCACAGTACCTTGCAGTAACACTCAGAAGGTTAAAAGACAAACAGTGAGATCAAGGCAATGCTGGAATTGCAACCTCCAGAAATTAAATCCCTGATCTGATGGAAATCCTACTCCACACCTCCTCACTGTTACGAGGTTGGGCACCAATTAGGTGACTGTGGCGTGGCATCTGCTGGAGCTCACGGCTCTCCAATTATTTTGGTGAGGGACTTATTAAGTAGATGAGACTTCCAAGGAACTGGCTGGAACTCCTCCAGAACCCCAACCAATTTGTGCAAATTGTTTAGGTCTTGTCAAGCTGTTTGTCAGAGCAAGCACCTTTATGACCCTCCTCTCCTCTTGCTCTTTGAGCACCGAGATTATTTAATTAGGGAATCCAAATTACCAACACAGAGCTGTACTCCCCACCCTCCCCTGCAGTCCCTGCCCTCTCCCTGCCCCCCAACCTGATCCTCCATCTGTGTCTCATTTACAACACTATCCCAAGCAGCCCTTTGGGTGGTTTTTGTAGCCAGACAGCTCAGAACCCCCTCTCAGCTCCTCACCCTCCTGGCTGAGGCACTGCTCTTTGCAAATGCCTTCCAGGACGGAAAAATAATCTCCCCTTTGTCAAAAAGAGGTGATAGATGTGTTGCTACTTCCTTGTGCTTCAGCAATTCCTCCTCCTTTGGCAGGGCCCAAACGGTGGTTCACGAGTTACAAATAAATGAATCTATTCTGCCTGCCAATTTATGGGAGATGAGTTTTCCCTCAAACAGAGGAGAGATCAGATACATGATTTTCTCTCCTATATATCTATCAAATATTTGTTTCAATAAAGCTGGTACATTTTACAGGGCAGCATTTCCCTAGAAATTTCTTTTTGTGTGCTGTTTCAGAAGACATTTATAGCATCATCTACCTATGTAACCCTCATGGTTTATTTAGAAAACAGTCAGGGATGTCATCATCTGTGAAAAGAAGAAGTTGTGAAGTTACCAAAGAACAACGTGTCTGTTCCCCTCCAGCAAAATATTTCTGACAGATGTTGCAGATTTTCAGTGCTTTGATTTTTAGCTTCTTTTTGCAGTCCTTTGCCCCTCAAAGGCTTTTCCTTTGAAGACACTCAAGCCTCAGTAACCACAAATAATAAATACACCAATAAATGAAAGCCCCAAACACCTTCAGAATTAGTATCTGTAATTAGGGAGCAAGTTTAATCACTCATCTCCCAGGACTGCTTTTCTGGGGAGCACTGAGGTACTGCTGGAACTGAAACAACTGCACTTGAGCCACTGATGAAGATTTTGTACTAATAACAGAGTTTACTGGACTTGCCACACTGTTTTAAGATTCACTTGCAGAGAAGTTGTTTGATGGGTTGTATGAAGTTCCCAAGTGTAAAAAGATTTATTTTTCTCCTGGAATGTGAGAACAGCACCCAACCAATGCCAAATGCAGCCTAACAAATGGGGTGGTTCCTCAAACCTTGCATTCACTCACCTGCTGCAGTCTCTTTGTTTGCAAACAGTTTGCTGTCAACTGCTGAGCTGATGTCAGAGAACACTTCCTCTTCATCTCTGTCAGCATCGAACTGAAAAACAAAACCAAAAGCAGAAGCTGGCAATCAGACACTTCTGATTCTGTTCACTCCCTGGCTGCCCATCAGTGTGGGAATTCTCAGCCCCAGCCTTCCTGACAGCAACCCTTCTGTTTGCACAGTTACTGTGATGTTCGTGTGTGGACAATTTCTTGGAGCAGTTGAGCCAAACCCTTAGGAAAGAGTGAAGTAGTATTGAAATTCCCCTGCTGAGAGAAAGGAGAGCTTTCCTCACCCTCACACTGGCAGGAGTGTAATGGCTCAGTGATGAATTCATAAAATCAGAAAGGAAAAGCTCCTTTAAAAAGGCAAATAATCAATTTCTGAGCATTTTAATCTTTTTTCCCCTCATTTATTCTATGTTTTGCCTGAATTCTGATACTGATTCTCCCAGGTTTTTTTCTCAGCTCTGTCTGACAGGTTCTTTTTCTGGCCAGGTGTCATGTTTGACAGTGGGTTTGTGACTTTTCCTGTCAATTCTATCAATTCCAAGCTCGTGGGCTCAGTCCAAGACTGTGGAGACTTTTCCAGATGTCTTGGCAACACCTGCCTGGCTCTTGGGAAAAACAACAGGCAGGGAAAAGCCACGGAGAGAGGAACCAACCCCACTAGGGATTTTACTGCAGAAGTTAATATTAATAAAGGTGAAGCTGTTTTCCAAACATCCCCCTCAGAATACAGCATGACACTTAACCAGCTCCCTTTAGGCAGACACTGAGTTGTTTAAACCCCAGTTTATCATAACCCAAAGTCCTTTTTGTTTGTTCCTAAAGCAGGGATCTGTGTTCACCTACTAGAGGGGTGACATTTTAACTTGTGCCAAAATCCAGGGTGGTGGAAGAACAGGTCTTAAATGGGGCTACTCTTGGGCAATTTACTATCCATCCTCAAAGAGCAGCTTTGCAATGTCCTTGTTGATCAAAATAGAGTGTTTGTAAGATATGCTGGGGAAGAAATGCCTTGTAGGATGTGGAGGTCACCCCACACTTGCACAGGTGACAGGATTGCTCTCTCATTTCCCTGAATAATCCATGTAAAAAACACATGATCAATCTCACAATGTTCCCAAGGTTCTGAGAACATGAAACATCCACTTCCCTCCTCAAAGAACACCAGCTGTGCTTCCAGTACTGGGAAAAATCTGGGCTTTGGAAGCAGAGCCTGTACTGTCACCCAAGGAAAGCCAGTTATTTGAAGCTCGGACACAGACTCAGTTTTCCCCTCAAAAAAAGAGAATTTTGATACCTGAGCCCCAGGAAGGCAAGACATGGAGGAATTATTTTTGAAAGGAGCTAAGCAACCTTGTTAGATCTGCCCTTCCTTGAACTGCTGAACATTTTCACCTGAAAACCTTTGATAATTATTGGAGGCCTGAATAAGAGGTAAAAGGTACTCAAGCAACCCTGCTCACAAAGAGCAGTAACAGTTGTATTTTTAGCAGGACTAAATCAATAGGCTGCTTTCCTCACTGAAAACAAACCCCTACTTGCTTCAAAGCCCAGCTCTTTGCAGTGGAATGCAAACAGCAACATTTGTTCTAACAACAGTGTCTTTTCTGCTTAATTAATCACAACTGGCAATGGATTCCCCTGATTTGAAAATCTTAGGTTGGTTGTGAAAAGAAAAATATTACTATTTTCAAATCGAATTAGGAATTAATTCAGGGGAGTCTTCTGCAACAGAGCAAAAAACTCAGGGTTATTCACAAAAAAAAGAGAGCATGGCTTCTTGTATGAAAGTTATCCTATGCTTTTAAAAATTAGAAGTCAAATTGCATCGCTTTGTCCTTTAAGTGCTGGCATTTTTCTCGTTAAAAAGTCGACAATCCCAGTAACATGAAGAGATCCAAAGGACTGGAATGATTTCCAGGTGCCAGTGGCTACAGATGTCACCAGAAGAACACACTATTGTTATTCAGACTGACTTAGGCAAGGATTTGCTCCTGAAAGATTGAAAACAAGTAAGGACTAGTTTTATTTTACCCCTGGTAAACACTAAATAGAATCTAATAACACTAAATATAAATAATACTCAAAGGTGAAGTGCTGCAATACTCTTAAAAAACCCCCAAAGCTCCAAAACACCACAACAGGGGCGTGAGAACAGAGGAGAGAGATATTTCTCTTTAATCCATTCTCTAGTTCTAATAATATTTTCATTCTTTTACACCAAACACTCTGAAATCTCAGATTACTTTATATTTCACCACCCAGAGAAGAAAAACTGCAACTGAAATGACACTGGAGCTCACCAGTGATTTTTAAAATGTTATGCAAGTAGCAGAGGTCACAAATTGCTATCAGACAGAAATCAGCTGGAGACACCAACACTGTCATTACAATCCTCAGGAATACTCTGGCTCATCTCAAATAAACCACTTAACACCTCAGGGTTTTTTAACCACAGGAGTTCCAGAGAGGATTCATCAATAACTGCAGAGCCCTCCCAGGTCCATCATGAGTTTCTCAAGTTCCACTTGTCACCAGAGTATCTGCTGCTTGTGAGCGAGCCCGAGGCTCAGCATCCTCCTGCTGACAGTTCTGCTGCCTTTGGTGGATCCCAAACTCATTTACTCCAAATAGGTGCAATCTGAAGCCACCCATCATGTCATTTCTGAGCGCATCAGGTGCACAGACAGACTCCTCTGTGGCAAGGAAAGCAATTAAAATTAAACTATCAAATTTGAATAACGTCTTCCAGCAACATTAGTGAGTACTGAAATGACCTCAAGAAAGAGCAAATACGTGCTTATAACAGAAACTACCAGCTGATTTAACTGCCTCATACCACAAAAAGTGAAAATATAAACATGCACCCCCATACACACAGATATTTTATATTATTTTTTTCCCTATTTTTCTGTTCCCAGTAAGGTGACTGTTATGTGGAGAGCAAACATTTCCAAATGCCTTTTATTTCCAAATTTTTCTGCCATCACCTTCTCCATTTCCTCAAAGGTCTCTGAGCTTCCAACAGGCATTATCCCCCACCAGCCTTGTATTCATTAAACTTTTTAAAGCTGAAGGCCATTTAACATCATAGGCAAGCTATAAATACCAACACCAAATAAACTTTGTGGGCAGATTCACTTTACAAAGGGTTGACAACTTGCACCTTGACAGGTATTACATCCATTCTGCAGCTTCTATAGCACAGTCAACTTATACTAATTATTTCTGGAGTTTAATTAAAACCAAAGAGCTGTTTTAGCTTATGCAGCATATCTCAAGGTAGAGGTATATTCTACTTGGAAGCACAAACACTTTTTCTTTTTCTAAAGAAAATATACATTCCACTGTTGGAGTCATTTTCACTGTGGGTTTACTTTTTAAAGGAAACTGCCTTTAAAGAGGCAAATGGTACCCCAAAGAAACAGGCCAGTGGTGTTGGGCACCCAGACACATCACTCCAGAAGAGCCTAAATGGCAAATTAATTACAGGCTGAGTTAAGAGATGCTCTATGATTTATTTGGTGCTCTGTTCCTTTAGAACCCAGGAAAACCTGCAGCCTGAGGGAGAGATCATCTTACACTGGGACCAGGATAAATGGTTTGATTTTTTTACTTTAATGCACCAAACTCCAAAGGAAGGGGAAGACTCAGCTGATTACAGTGCCTGTAGAGCTCCTGGAGCTCCTGTGCCTCTGTTTCTTTTGTTCAAAATGAAACAATTTTCTATCCTCAGCTCCCACAGCCCAGACAGACACCCTGAACAAACAGACAGCAACACTTGCTTCCCAAAAAAACGTCCATGCAAGCAACAGCAAGTCATTCAAATAAGGAAACTAAACAAAAAACTATATTTAGAAAAACTCAGAAAGAAAAGACATTTCTTCCTACAAATCCTATTTTCTTCCACTGACAGTCTGCACTTCACTTCAAAGAAAAACACTGGTGCTGCTGCCAAATGCAGCCAAATATTTCCCTTTGAAGATTGAGGGCATTTCTCCTGTTGGCTGTTCATGGAAGAGATCCTGAACACAAAACATTAAAATACTGTTGTCTAATCACCAATAGATGCCTTGGCAACAATCATTCCAGAGGGCACAGTTTCCCACGTGCCATCCCAGTTTTCCGAGGGACAACAGGAAAAGTGCCCAGCTCATCTCGGCTGCGAACGCAGCGGGTTCTTGAAGCACGAGAACTGATGACTCAGCTGCAAGAACAGGCACAGGGTGCACCACAGGCCCCAGCAGGAGCTGCTGTGGGCGGTTCAGATGCCAAATCCGCGCCGAGTTCAGGAAATAATGTGACATTTTTGGTCGGCAAAGAGCTCGGCAACGCAAATCATTTCATTGTGGCCGCTCAGAGCGGAATTTCACACTGGAAGGACTGGAACATTTGAAAATTACCAGCTTTTCTCTTTCCCTTGGAAGACAAAAATAAATGTTAACTCCCAGCTACGCAGTTCCTGTGTATTCAAATCAATTGGGATCCAGGATAAATAGCGTTTTTTGGAAACAAATGTAGGACAAAATCCCACGGGATTATGTAGGCTGAAAGCATTTTTAACTGTCATTAAAAGAAGTGGATGAAGTGGACCTGATGGACAGAATTTATTAGACTTTTTTAAAGCTTTTGACAATATTTCTACCCAGAGGGTGTTAAATGAAACATATTTCAGGGTGGAATTAAATAATATAATGAATTTTTAAAAGTATGATAAATGTCCAAGGACCGCCTTGTCAACAAGTAGGACAGAGAATGGCCCCTGTGCTGATCAAGGAAATGAAAGTACAAATCAGAAAACTCACCCTCACTCTATAAATGAAGCCTGAGAAGGGACAGGGATGAGGTCAAGAAATGCATGTAATGTGCCAATAGCGTGTGCTGCAGGAGAGAGATGGAAGAAAGCCCCAAGAAAGATAAAAATGAAGCCTCTGTAATCTCTCTTTTAATATGATTTCCTTTCCCTTTGGCTGCCCATACCTGTTTGTGTGAGCTAAGTGCACCACAGAACACCTGACACCTTTAGGGCCTATTAACAACCCGTTC